CCTCACACAGTGTTCTTTTCAGGACCCGGACTCAGGTCATCAGCCTTGGCAGCAAGTACCAGTACCCACTGATCCTCCCCAATGCACTCTTCATTTTTATTTTAAGACAAGGGCTTGCTAAGATACTCAGGCTGACCTTGAATTTGTACTCTTCCTGCCTTAGCCTTCTGGTAGCTGAGGTTCCAGGCCTGGGTCACCAGATCCAATTCCCAGCTATCAGTTTTGAGGGATGGGCACAGGGCTGATGAGATGAGATGGAGTTACTCTGATTCCGAGGGGCTAGGCTGTCGAGAGTGGAATGGCTAAGAGAGGCAGTATGGAGCAGTGAGCCAGCCCCAGTTTGGTACCCACTGAAATCCCTCGATAAAGAGAAGGAGGACAGGATGAACTAGGTGTGAGTGGATGCAGACTCCAGTGTCAGTTTGAGGATGTTGGGAAGGAACCGAGGAAAGCAGACACTGGAACACATAGGCAGTGAACTCTTCTCCAGTCATGCCAGTATTTCTCTGAAACTGGGAGAGTTGGGGGTGGCTACGGTTCCTTGCCCGACTCTGTGCCAGGCAAAGCCTGTGTGAACCACGTGAGTATTTTTTGTTAGGGGGAGGTTGTTAGTGAGTTGCACCACAAATTACCAGAAGTTAACACCTTCCATATCTGTTCACTGTTTCTTTAATCTTCTGTTTACATTGTCAGGAAACTGCCCTGAAATTTAAAGAGCCAGGTCTTTCATTGTGACCTGAGGGTGTGGACACCAGACAGACACGCTGTGTTATGTCTTAAAAGACGGTTAATTGCAAATGAAAACTTCCCACCCCAAGTTTGCAGAAACGATAGCAAATCCCGCTAACTTCAGCTTTCTAAAGAGAAGTGTGAGATTTGACATGATGCCCCTCGTGATTGTGCTATAACAACGCACGGAAGCACTTAGTGTGACATTAGCTGTTTCACTCTGCAGTGTTGATTAGCTAGTGGAGCATTGTCTCACTTCCTTATTCTGTGAAAGAGTCCTGGCCTCGCTATGAACTACCTTAGTTAATTAGGATACACCTCATGCTACAGCTTTAAGAAGAAACCTAAGCTGTTTTTATATAAGGTAAAGGTCGGGCTTTTCTGGTGCATTTCAGGTGTGGACAACTACTGAAAAGATATGGTTTAGCAATGGCTTGCTTCTCTGTAAGTAGGTGCCTTAGAGGACAGGATCCCAAGGACAGCTCCAATATAGCAAAAAACATTCCTCCTATCGTATGTATAAAACTGATAAGACTGCCTTTCTAGTGGGGCGCACATTATAACAGCATCCAACATCCAGAGACAAAGGCATGCCCTTGGGAGCTGTGTTCTTTTCGTTAAGTGGCTTTCCAAGCCAGACTTATTATCTCAGCTGTGCATGGGGCTGAGGCAGGAGGATAGAAAGGTCAAGCTCAACCTGGGCGACAGATGAGTTTAAAGCCAGCCTGGTGGGCAGCTTGTTTAGACCTCGTCTCAAAATGAAATCTACAAAAAGAAAAAAAAAACAAGAAAGGAAGAAAGAGAGAGAGAGAGAGGGAGGGAGGGAGGGAGAAAGAAAGAAAGAAAGAAAGAAAGAAAGAAAGAAAGAAAGAAAGAAAGAAAGAAAGAAAGAAAGAAAATAGCTAAGTGTGTATATAGCTCAGGGGTAGGATGCTTGCCAAGAATATGTATAGCATGTGCACAACCGTGGGTTCAGTCCCCAGCCCTGCAGAACAAATGCGTGAATACATATTTTCACTCTGTTTATTTTCGCTGCTTTGTTTCGGGTGAGTTTTTAAAGAGATCTAATGGATTTTAAGTCATTTATCTGCGATTCAGTGGATTTGCTATAAATGTGCGAATAAGGTAATGTCAGCTGCAGTATCTTTGATTGTATAACGCCCAGTGCACAGTGAACAGATGTCAAGAATGTTTGTTCAAATATTGATCATTAGAGTGAGGGGAGTCAGAACGCATCTGCCCGTGTTGGTGGATGATGACATAGGATTTTAGATTCATAAAAATTGAGTCTAATTTCAATGTCCTTAGTGGGAAAGGATTAATTTCTGATTAGTATGGTGTTTTAGAAAAATGAGTTAGTACTCCAGTTAGAAACTTAGAGTGAAGCTTAGAAAGGAAATCATCTTGAATAATCTTCCTAAAGGACGACGGTGCTTTAAATGGGATTTTAAACAGGATCACATTTGGTATGTATGTGCCTAGCAGGTCACTTAGACCCTCAGCTCTTGGAGAAAGGGGCCCATGTCTTTATTGTGTCTGTATTCTAGCCTAGTGCAGGATCAGTACATATCCCAGTTTTGCCCCATAAAATCTGTAGATGCCCAAATTCAGATGACAGGGATACGTTACAGATTTCCTAAGTAAGAAACTTAGGTGATCAACACCAGGAGTAGATATGTAAATGATGACCTTGATAAATCAAGATGGAGCTCAAGGGCCAGGGACTTTTTGTGGCATACTCAATGACATGCTTGTTGCCTAATTTGTGAATTTTGGGGGACATTTTCCAAGTGCCAGATCCTCTAAAAACGTAGGCAAATGAGGTGCAATAACAATAAATCCTTTATTCATAAAGATATTATTTGAATCTGCTGAATCTATTTGTGTTATAGAAACAAGACCCTTTGGGGTCCAGCCTCAAGGCCCTCTCAGGGTTCAAAATGGAAGCAACAGCCAGCACAGGACTCAAGATGTCTGTGGGAGAATGAATTTCTCTCACACGTGCTTTTCTGAATCAGTCTCTATCATTCTGTCTCCTGTCCTACTTCTAATTCTTTCTAGCTTCTTCTCCTGCTCTTTCTTCTCTAGCCTAAAAATTCTTTTTCCTACAGGAGCTATAAAGTGATAAAAAAAAATTGCAAGAGTTACCTCTCATTGGTCAAAAGCACATTCCTAGGGTAAACGATTAGGAACTGAGCCATTGCCATGGCAATATAAGGGTCCAAGGTTACAGGACAAAGACCGTGATCAGAGGGCAGGGGTACTGTGCCCAGTGACATAAGCTTTGGGTCATAGGTCTTTTGTTAACAGACTTGGCAAGCAAAGAATTATTTTTCCTAGGGTGTTCATGTAGCAACCTGGTTGGACGTCTGGGACTCTGACCCTGTGTATAGATACAAAGTTCCAAATTTATGGTCTTCATACAAAAAGTCTAGTTTGAACTTGTTTTGTGGTGAAAGTGAGCTAACTGTGTGCAGTTAGTCTAAGCAAAAGAGCAGAGCAGACTTTCAAATGTTTACTGTCCTCATGGGATAAGTAGATCTAATTATGGAGCACGTCCTAGTATATTTTCTATATATCAAAATTATATAGCTAAAATAAAAGTCCTCTTCCTGGCCATCCACAGATGTATGTGCCCATAAGATTGAGATGTAGTCATGAGATTACATATACACATCCCATGAGATTACACAATACAAAATACAATGCAGGTACTGGGGAGACACCAAGCTGCTTTAGCAAAAGTGAGCAACAGTTTCCAAAGCTGATGGTCCTGCAGGCCTTGCCTGGACTGATTATCCTCCATCAGAGTCGCTATTCGGGTGGGTTGGCATCTAAATTATCAATGGTGGTATGCTGTGTATTTCCATCCTCTCCAACATTATAGGATTGAGTGATTAAAATATATATGTATATATATATGTATTTTATTTTTATGTATGTGCTTGTGTGTATGTGTGCCATATCTCTGTATATATACACATATGTGGGTACCCACAGAAGCCAGAAGATGGCATCAGATCCCCAGGAACAGGAGTTACAGGAGGTTGTGAGCCACCTGACATGGGTGCTAGGAACTGAACTCTGGCTCTCTGAAAAATCAACAAATGCTCTTAACTGCCGGGCCATCTCCTCAGCCCTAAGTGATTTAATGTCGAGATAATGTGCATAGAGGGTTTTGCATTGTGTTTGGAATAATAAATGCTAGACTTTTCCTCTTCAACAGTAAATTTCCGGGGGGAAAATAAGGAATACTTAAAAGTAAAGAGAAAGAGGATGGGATTATGCATCACTTAGAATTTGGCACAGAATCCTGATTGACTCAGTTTGGTAGGTGCTGATTTCAGTTGAGTTGACCTGGGGACACTCCTGCTCTTCTTTGTTCTAGGTTGTCACCTGAGCACACTAACATGTTTGTGGTCAGATGAGAGCTAGTGGTCTCAGCCTCACACGTGAAGGCATTGGTCACACGTGAAGGCATTGGTGTAATTGGGTTTCGGTGGTGGCAAAAGGGTTCTGGGGAATCAGTGAGAATGAGCAACCTGGTAAAGAACACTTTGCACACTTCTGCAGTATCTTGTTGTCTACTGTTCCTTTTTTTTTAAAAAAAATTTATTTGTTATATATACAACATTCCTTCCATGTATGCTTGCATGCCAGAAGAGGGCACCAGATCTCATTATAGATGGTTGTGAGCCACGATGTGGTTGCTGGGAATTGAACTCAGGACCTCTGGAAGAGTAGTCAGTGCTCTTAACCTCTAAGCCATCTCTCCAGTCCCCTACTGTTCTTTCTTTAGCCAGACTGAGGCATGTGGCCGAGGTAGAGAAAGATACCAATAAGGCAAAGAAAGAGTCGCTCTTGATGAATAGGGATGGTAAGGACTTGTAGCCTTGTTTGTGATCCACACAGACTTCTTAACTGTCTACCAGGCCTAGGCTGGACCACTCGCAGGCCACTCATGTAAGCTTCATGACAACTTCCTGACATGGACGCATGACCCGGGAGAAAGCTGATGGCCAGAGAAGCAAAGAGATTTGCTTACATTAAAGCCAAGATGGTTACTCCAAGTTATAGAAAGGGCTTGTAGGCACTGTCTTTTCATGAAAAAGGTGCATGCTTCAACAAGAATTTGATTTAAAAGGAGTAGCAGAGATGAGCTGTAGACCCCCTTACCTGTGGAAACACTAGGCCATGCATTCGTCTGGTCTAGAAAACTGCTCTCTTACACATTTGCAGAGGCTTATGGGAAACATGTTTTTGTTTGCTAGGTCGCCTGCACCACCCGGGTCTCCCTGCGTCTTGGACATGACTGAGCTTCTTCAGTGGGCCAGACATCACTGGCATCGGCTGATGAATGGGAGAACCCAGCATGAAGACGAGAGGCCATACAGCTATTCCTCACTGCTCGTCTGTGGGGGAAAGTCCTCCCCAACCCCCAAACCAGCAGGAAAGCATCGTGTCGTTATCCCTCACCTTCCATGCTTCAAAGATGAGTATGAAAGGTTTTCTGGAACCTACATGAATAACCGGATACGGACAACCAAGTACACGCTTCTGAATTTCGTGCCGAGAAACTTGTTTGAGCAGTTTCACAGGTACTGGGGTACTTTTCAAGAAAGTAATATCTCAGAATGCTTTTCATTTCTTCCATTGAAACTTCCACCAACCCATGCATTTTCACGGTCCTGTTGCACAAGCTTATATATATGCCTCCAAGGCAACTTAGATTCAAGTCCCAGCTGGAGCGAGGGTGCTTGGGGTTCACACAGTTCTTTGCAGTTAGAAGGATGTCTTCTGTTTATCAGAGGAGATGCTGTTCCCTTGTGTTATCTTCAGATAGGAAACCGTCTGTGGCTCAGCCAAGGCCATACCAGTAATAAGCAGCAGAGTGGATGTCATAGCCTTGGGCCTTCTCTGTCTTGCTTCAATGTCCTTTCTATTAAACCATGTTGCATTTTAATTGCAGATTTTTCTTACTTGATAATGGGGAAAAGAAAGAGACTCTTAAGCAAATGTAATAAGATGTTATTAAGCGAAGCAATGATGTAATTCAATTTAACAGGCATTTATTGAAGCCGACTTGAGATCTTGGGCAGTGAAGAAAATGCAGGTATTACCGGCTACTTTCCTTATGGATTCTGTAGGTTTTCCACATGTGTGTACAGACAGTGAGAGGCCACAGTGGGTCTGCAGGTATCAAAGTGAAAGCTTCAAGAGAAGTCATGGAACAAGAGAAGTCACACTGTGTGACACTCGGTCATGGAGGGCGGGCGACTTCTGCCCAGGAACAGGCAGGGCATATTTCATGTAGAGGAAGGCGTGTCCGTGCAAACACAAAGACCACAACAGAGAAGCCTTGCTTGAAACCTGGGAGGTTTCCTTTTGTATGATACCTAGTGTCTGTGTTGGGAACAATAGAAAATAATGTGCAGACGGGTCTAGTCCACCAGCGGAGTATTGCTGTCAAAACAGAGACTCAAGACTCCGTACCTCCAGCATGATTCTGAGCTAGAGAAAAGCCTGGGTCTGTATGGAGGCGGTGGGATGATCACAAGGAAGGGCTTAGAAATAAACTGAATAAAAAATGACATTTAGGATGCTGCTGTGTAGTTGTCAGGGGACCCGTGCTTATGATAGCGTGGCGACGAAGGGGACGCCAGCCCAGGACACATGCTGTAGACTAGCTTTGGGGAAATAACTGGGAAGGGAGCCTTAGATGGACACGCCGTGATGACTCTGAAAACTTACCAGCCAAAGGAGAGCCAGGACCAAAGAGCAGCTGGGCTGTGCAGTTCCTTGTGTTGGAAATGCCCGAGCTGCTCAGTCTAAAGAGAGATGGTCACGATTTGCACTTCATAGGTTCTGTGTGCAGTTGGTGCTATGTTCGAGTGCAGGCATGAGTTTCTGAGATTGAAAGCCTTAAGGGCTACAGGTGTTTATGTCTGTAGACTGTAATCTAGTACATTTGATACGTAAAGGAACTTCAAAATTTACAGTGTTCTCTTGAGCTGTGGACTTGAATGTGATCCAGGGAGAAACAATTGAAGCCACGGATCTAACAAAAACAGTTAAAAAAGAAAACTTCAGAGCAAAATACATTGGAGATTACAAAGGAGACATGTGGATAGATTGATTATGCTTTTAAGGAGTTTCACAGTTGAAGGGAAAGGAAAATTCCTGATCACTATGCAGAACTGAGGTTTCTTGTTCGTTCTTTTTTAAAATTTGAATATATAAAATAGTGAAGTTTTGGGGATGGAAGAATTTCCCTGAGCTCTGTGTTTCTGAAGTGTGAGAAGATACAGAACGTCTCAAGGAGGGAAAATCCCAGGCCTCCCTGCTCTTTTTGAGCCTTTAGACTTTAGACTTGCTTGAATCTAATGAGTTAATTCAGAGTGCCTGGGTTTTTCTTTTTAGCTTTTAAAGAGAAAACAGTACTTCCTCTTTTCAATATGTGTTACATAACTCAAGACTACCACAGCCAAATATCCACTATTATATGTTTAATAAGAAAATCTTATATATATTCAAATATGATCCAAGCCAAATGTCCTGGATAGATATAAATACTTCATATTTATTAGATTTTAATAATTCTCTGTCCTGTGACTGACCATTCCAGCTAATCCCAACTTAGGCAAAAGAACAAAAGCCGTGCCTTGCTTCTTTTATTTCAGCTCTCGGAGTGTTCTGTACAAACCTCCCTGTGTGTGCTTGGCTTGCAGGGCTGCCAATTTATACTTCCTGTTCCTTGTGGTCCTGAACTGGGTGCCTTTGGTGGAAGCCTTCCAAAAGGAAATCACGATGCTGCCGCTGGTGGTGGTCCTCACAATCATTGCAATTAAGGATGGCTTGGAGGACTACCGGAAATACAAAATCGATAAGCAGATCAACAATTTAATAACCAAAGTTTACAGTAGGTAAGTGGGATGGCTGTGTGCCTAAGGAATGCACTGTAGCATTTATAAGCATGTTAGTCCTTCTGCCCTTATGTAGGATCAGGACCCTTGTTGTGCTGCTGTTGTTACTGGGTTGTTTTTTTTCCTCTCTCCTGATACCAGGGATTGAACCTAGGACTTCATAATCTTTTTTTTACGTATTAGTCAAGTGTTCTACTGGTGAACTACACTACCAGTTGTTAATATTGATTTTGCTTAACATTTCTTAAAATTCTTCAGTGAATTTAGTTGAAATCTTAGAGGGGAAATACGAGTCACTGTCAATCACGGACCTGACCAAAAAACCCTGCTGACTCAGTCACTGGAAACTGAAAGGATCTGAACTGGATTGAGAGCTGGGTGCAGGGACATAGCCCCATAATCTCAGCATTTGGGAGACTGAGGCAAGATAGTTGCCAGCCTGGGTATGAGAACCACAGTGAAGATCGAGAGAAAGAGAAAAACTTGAATAGATATGAAAAGTTGGATGGAACATGAGAAGTCAATTATTTATGGAGCAAAGGGTTATGAAGTCAGAATAGAATTCTTTTTATTCATAAAATCCGAAACATCTATTGCAGCCTTGCCTGAGGCATCCAATGGAGAGAGTTTATTTGGTGAATTCAGTTATTGTGTAATGTCGTTTGCAATATGTAAAGAGAAAGTCTGTGTATCCAGGAGAGAATTCAGGTTATGAGTTGAACCATGATGCTGCTGATACGAGCTCCTCCATGCTTCTTTTTAGATGTAAATGAATACTGAAAAAACAGCATGGCTCAGGGCAACTTGCAAGAATCCTAATATTCTCTTATGAATATGAGAATCAGAGAAAAAGGTTCAGGGGAAGCCTGTTTGGAGATGTGGTATTCACGCTAACGTCTGCAAGATCATGAATTCTGCTCGTAATTAGGTTTCTTCAGTAGCGCTCACATTTCTTTACAGATCTAGTGAAAAAAAACAAGGAAAAGAATTGATTTTTTTGTCATTATAAGATGATGTGAGGGGATTTGAATAGTGAAAAAATTAGTTCTATTTTTATGCTATTTATGAAGGAAACAAGAAGCTCTGATACATGCTATCAAATCCTAAAGTAGTTGTAGAGTCGAAGTCTGTGATTCAGAGCACCAATTCCACGAGTCACTCGGTAACCCTTGAGTACTTAGGAAATGCCGGAGACAAGAGAGGTGTCATGCTAGACCGCACTGACCTTTGGTCACTAGCTGGAAGATGGCCACATAATGACAAAATCCAGGTTTTGTCACTTTTGAGATTAACCAGGTAACACCAAATTTGGCAAAAAGGAAGGACACTATATATGTGCACATGTGCGTAATATATATGTGTGTAATCATTTTATATACAGATTCTTCTAAGTGTAGATGCTTGTAGACTTTTACCACTATTATGTAGTCAATAATATGTCTTTGATCTCTATTTTTCTAAAATGTTATTACCTTGATTTCTCCCACTTACTGGCTCTGTAGCCTTGGGCAGATTACATAAGCTAGCTAAATGGCTATTTTATTTCATCATGAATACAAGGATAAAACAGCAAACACAGTGATGAGTGTATTTTAAGAAGCAAATAAAGGGCAGCCGCTAGCATTATGATGGCAGGTTAGTGCCAGTTAGCAAGAGGGTTTCTTGACACATGGGCAAGTCATTTAATTAGCATGTGAGACGTTGTAATAACATTGCCCTGTTTCCTAGATACTAACTGCCCAATGGGAGACCTGGTTTAGCCTTTCCTCTGGGGTCCTTTTACCTGGTTTGCATATACATTTAGTGATGAAATGCTCTAGTCTAGTGTCTTAATGCCCATTCTTTCACTTCACGGCTGCATTTTATAAGAGAGCTGGGTAACTTTATATCTTTTTATCTGTATTTCAGGCAATTTTTTTCTGCTCAGGGCTATGGAAGAAATAATGTTTATTATGTTTTCTTCCCCAAATTGTCTTTGGAACAATAGAGATAAAAAGAAGTAAAAATAGGCTATGAAGCCATACCATGTTGATTTACGTATGCTAATTGAAATGCCCATGGAACATTAAAAAGATTATGGAAGCCGAAATATTTTTGCAGAAAATTTAGGATGAAAGCAAAGGGGCTATTAAATGAAACAAACTTTTAGAAGAATAGTGTTGACATTTCCAGGCTGTAAATTTGGTTCTTATTCATAATATCTGGCCTATCACAATGTAGTTTATTTCTATGGGTAAATATCACATGCAAATAACATGGTCCCATGAGGACCCAGCTCTTAAATGCAAAATACTTCCCAATAGCATCATGAACTGGGGAGCAGGTCTTCAATCCCTGGGCTTCAGGAGGACCACTTACCCACACAATAGGAAGGTTTAAACAAATCGTGGATACAACGCATGCCCTCCGTGGTCCAGTTTATTTTCTGACCTTTAGATATCACCAACAGTTACTCCTACGTTCTTCCTTTCAACAGAGTTCATGTGATCACCCTGCTTGAAGGTTATCAGACCTCCTGATGAGCAAATGCCCTAGGTGTGTTGGTCCTCGGTAAACAACAACAGGGTCTCTTTGTAGATTTGGACTAATATTCCACCCTCTTTGAAATTTTCGTCTCCTTTGGTTTTTATGACATTACTTCCTCTTGGATGCCCTTTGCCTTCGCTGTCGTCTTTAAGACTTTGTTAACGATGCTTGTATCCTTCTTTGCCTGTTGCCATTTGCCCTTTATGAACCTCAGGCTTCTACATCCACGCCTTTATGCACAACAACTGCGTTAGAAGCTTACACTAAATGTACACCTCAACCACCTCATTCATGTCACGTAAAAACGTCTTGAGATGAATTTGCTGTCTCACCTCAGACGTTATTAGTTGTTCCAGAATCTGGGACACGGCGACAGGCACCTTCTATCACTCCATCATGCCGATGAAGAACCATTCTGCCATCCCTGAAGTTGCTTACATGCAGAACGAGTCAGGAAGTGGCTCTCTCTGCTATCTAATTGTGTCCTCATTGAACCTTTTACTCATTTGTCCTGCTACCACCTTAATTCTGAGCCTGCTCATCCGTCCTTTGAATTATTTCAACAACTTTTTATTTGTCTCCTGTCTACTCTAACCTCTCACTAGGCTGCTGCTCAATAGTCCGTTACTCTGCCACAGGAATGAGCATACAGAAGCAGGGACACACCTTTTTTTTTTTTTTTGTGAACTTTAGTGACTCCATTTTCTGTAGAATGAAATTTCTAGAATACCCAGTAATCCCTTTCCTAGGTATGTGTGGCATATAGATCTGAGCTTTCAAAGTATAATCTCTACTTACCTTTTTAAAATCTTCTGTTACTTCCCATCTTGGAAGAATTCAGTATTATGTATAGACACTAGGGAGATTTTGAAAAGCAAAACAAAAATGAAATAAATTATGGATTTGCCACTTTCTATAGACTACAAAATTCTTAAGATAATCAAAGATTTCTCCCAGTTAGATTTGATATTGTGCATTAGGGTACTTATTTACTTATTTACATTTGCTTAACCCTTCAAACTAAGCATTTCTTTACATAGCTGACGGCTAGTCAAGTAATCTAGGCAGCATTTCCATCTAGTGTGATTTAATCTGACTTTTTGTATGTCGTACAGCTTAGGTTATAAGTAACTCCGAGGAGTCTAGGGAGTGAGTACAAATTCTATCTCCATAAATCTAACAGAAAGTAAATTGCTTTGCAATTATTTGCTTTCTTATTTTTGCGGCCTTAGCCTCTTGAATGTTGGGGTTGCAAGTGTGTGCCACGGTGCCTAGTGCGCATTCTAGAAGGAATCAAATTTACAGTTCTTTCTCGAAGGGATCAGACGCTGCAGCCTCCGGAGTAAACTCCTCTGTCAGTGTTCGGAACGAGGGTGGGGGAGCAGAGGAGACGTGCAGAGATGCCCAGGTCCCTCATATGATATGTTGCATGATATGATATGTCGGCTTTTATCTTACACATGTTCCCTGTGCACTTTAATTAATCTTTAGCGTACTCACCGTACTGACACAATGCAAAAGTGATGGCGATAGTTGTTACGTGCGTTTCTTTAGGAAATGGTAGCAGGAAGAAAAGTCTGTATGTTTTAGTACGTGTTTTTCTTTTCAAATATTTTCAAATTGCAATTGCTGGAATCCTCAGATAGAGAGTCTGTGGACATGGAAGGCTGCTTTTGTTTCTATTAGGTGAGAATTAGAGGTGATAACGTGGTATATATATATTTTTAATATCATGTGTGGGCATTGCATTTCGTTACATTTTCCTTAATTATCCAGCATAGGTGTGTGCCACAGGGCTCTCTGAGGTCAGACCACGAGCCTTGTCGCCCCTTCAGGTCCTTGATACCTGACTCAGAATCACATGCAAGGACTGTTCTACATATGAATATGTTCATGTAATGTTCGTTGTAATTCTGTTCTAGACTTGTATTCACACAGCGAAAGGGTTCGACATCCCACAGTGGGGGAGAAAGAGCTGAAAGAGTAGCTTTAAGGGACTTAATAACTACATTTTCCCAATGCGGCGTCTGTGAAATTTTAGCCTTACCTATTTTGTAGTGTCTCCTTTAGCATTTAATCCCACACTAAGATTTTAAGAAATGATTATGTTTCTTCTTACTATGTTTTCTATCTTTATTATCCCCCGGTTCGATTTCAGGAAAGAGAGAAAGTACATGGACTGTTGCTGGAAAAACGTCACTGTGGGGGACTTCATTCGCCTCTCGTGTAACGAGATCATCCCTGCAGACATGGTCTTACTCTTTTCCACAGACCCTGATGGCATCTGTCACATCGAGACTTCTGGCCTTGACGGAGAGAGCAACTTAAAGCAGCGGCAGGTGGTGCGTGGGTATGCGGAGCAGGTAAAGAGCCTCTTTTCCACTGGAGTTATGGGCATCCTTCTTCCTCAGGAAAGGTCCGGGCTCATTTTCACGGGCTAGATAAAGAGATTTTTAATTTAATTTTTACCGCTGGCAAAATAGAATTGCAGAAGGCTTAATCCATTTTCAGATATCAGTGGACGGACGTGTATTATGTTTTATAGATAATAGGATAAAAACGGCGTTGGCGCTCTCACACTTGGGTCTGCAGTCAGATTGTGTGGCGCAGCTAATGAGAAGCCCAGCAGAGTTCATGTGCAGTAGAAATAATCACCTGCTAAGTTCATTTTCTTACTCTTAGGGTTTTATATTTTGTCTTTTCACTATTTTTCCTAACATGTCTAATTTCCTATATTCCTGAGTTTAAAAAAAATTATGGTTTCTCACGCCACAAACTTCTAGGCTGTTCATCTTCGGTAATAAGGGAAATCAGACTGACACAGATTTGAATAATTAAATTTTTGCTCTGCCACTGATTTGTTTCTTTTATTCACAAGGTAATGATCTTGTGAAGTTATTCAAATACATTATGGCTGAGTTTCCTCATATTAACATGGAGATAATGTGTCTTTCTTAGCATCGTTGTTTGACTCATGTGAAAAGCATGTCATAGCTAAGTATCACTTTCCTGTCTCTATGTTTGGAAGCACTTGAGATAAAGGGTTGACAGAGGTTTCTGTCCTGCTCGGTCCTGCAGGCATTCAGTCCCAAAGAAACACACAGAGATCTACATTAATCATAAACTGGTTGGCCTATTAGCTCATTCTTCTTATTAACTCTTACATCCTACATTAACCCATAATTCTTGTCTGTGTCAGCCACGTGACTTAGTACCTTTTATCAGCAAGGTATTCTCACATTGCTTCCTCTGCATCTGGGTTATGACTGCAGACTAAGCCTCTTCCCAGAATTCTCTTGTTCTGGTCGCCCTGCCTATACTTCCTCCCTGCCTATTGGCTAATCAGCATTTTTTTTAAAGCAATACAAGTGACACATCTTTACAGGGTACAAGATCATTGTCCCACAGCAATAAAGGAATTGAAAATTTAATGGTCTTTATTTAAACCTGAAGTGCTAATAAGCTGGAATTTCTTCATCTTATATACATAAATAAACTGTATTAGCATCCTAGTACCTTAGCATTTCATCGCACATTGGACCCCTCTTTCCATCTATTGGATCTTCATTTTGAAACTTTTATAAGCAGCCCTATGCCCATGCTTTGGCAACACCTTGCACAACTTAGAATTCTATTACAACATTAAATGTGTGTCAAGCTGCTGCCAGTCGGCTAACAGGCATACTTTGGGTTCAGTTCTGCATGAGCACAGTCACTTCCTTAGTAATTTGCAGCTTGTTTTGAGAACTTGAGCAAATTATTGGGTCCTCTGTGTCTCCTTGACTGTGCTTAGGCCGGATTGTAATGCACCAGCCTCTTGGGACTGTGAAAAATAAATTAGTTAATATAGTTAATATACATAATGTAGAGTCTAGTACATCAAAAAAATTCAAGACATTATTAACAAATCAAATCATATGTTTCATGTTTTCCATGTTTACTACAGTGATATAAAAATATTACTCCAACAGCTACAGCCAAGCTTGCTCTTTCTGAGAAGATAGATATTCTAAAGCCTTATTATGTAGTGAACTTCACTACATAATAGTACCAGCTGCTTTTAAACACATAGCAAACCTCCTGCCTCTGCATCCTAAGTTCTAGAATTACAATCATGAGCCACCATACCAGTGCTCTTTATAAAGCCACGCCTTCCACACTTGATTTTTAGTCATCTTGCCTGTATCTCTACTGGTTTTATAACAGAATAATAAAGTACCTGTTTGCTCCCTGGGGGAATTTTGTGAGATCTTATACCCTGCTTATTTGGGAATTTCGTTCATGAGCTTTGGCTAAGATCAAATGCTTATATACTCCAAGGTATTGCCAACATGCTCTGAATATAGCCAACCATCAGATTATAGGAAACAACAACAAAATATTTTCCATACCCTATTGACTCTGATGTTTGCTCCATGAGTGGAAGCTCTGATACTGAGTCCTGCATGCACACATAACTTGCATCATGTGATTGATCTGAAAAAGCTCCTTCTGTTTCTGTGGATATCTTTCGAGCATCCCAAGGTCATTCTCATCCCTTTATGGATCCCATATTTATGTCTGTATTTTCTTCATTTTTAACTCTTTTAAATCTAGAAGATCTATAGTATATACTTTGAGGCAAAAAAAAATGCCTTAACTACTATATGTATTAAGAATTGACCAAATTAATACAATGTTTAAATACTGAAATTTAATCATGAATTCGTTCTCTTTTTTTTGTGATGTTGACAAAATATTTTTAGGACTCTGAAGTTGATCCTGAGAAGTTTTCCAGTAGGATAGAATGTGAAAGTCCAAACAATGACCTCAGCAGATTCCGAGGCTTTCTGTGAGTGCTGTGTAACTTACCTTTGTGGACACAATGTCTTTGTGTATTTATGTTCAATGTAAATCATTGCAAGTTTGGCCATCATTCATTTGCTCTACCCAAGTAATCTAAAAAAAATGCTCATTTCCATGTATAATAAGACAATCTAAACAATAAAACCCTCCAAAAGTATTCCTATAATCTCTTCCAATGATATAAAAATGTTTTGAGGGGGTTGCATAGCTTAGACCGGCCTTGAATTTACTATGCAGTTGTGGCTTGCCTTGGATTTGTTGCTCTTCCATCTCATCTTTTTGAGATGACAGATACGCATCACCATGCCAAACGTAGTGAGCTCCATATTAACCCAGGAGACGTTGCGGTTTGGAAGGGAGTGTTTCTGTGTCCTCAAATGATATCTTAGGATGGCCTGTTCCCGCTGTGAGAATTAGAAGAGCCGCTGTGCAGTTCCGGCTGGAAAGAGTTAATCACTGATTGGGAAGCTTGACTTAGAGTGTGGGAAGCCATAGCAGAGTTCGTTTCCAACGCTTGTAGTGCCAATCCGCAACCCCTTGCAAAGACACCTGTAATTTGTGGTCTTTCCCAACCTCACACTTGGCTTTAGCACTTAGATGTTTTATTACTTTCAGCCAATTAATACTCATTAACTTAATTTTTACAAAAAAAAAGTTACACATAATTCTTGGAGAAAATTTGCCACCAATTTCCTGTTTTTAAGACATTAAATTTTCCTGATCTCATTTCCTGGATGTCTAGAGTTGAGTTAGGTTAGGTTCAGGGATGCCTCTTGAGTTGATATCTCTTTGCACAGATCCCAGGTAGAATAAAGACTGTAAAACTGAAAGTGAAAAGGCCGGTCTGTTTTCCTCTTTCTTCACAAAGGAAACTTTTGTAGGGGTTTCACTTATCTTCTTCCCAGTTCCAGAGAGTCAGGGTGCTAGGTTTGTTGACAATGTTTATTTGTAAGAAACAACAACAGCTTAAAGTCTAGTGGTTATTGCTTAGAAAACCTAATGATAAAAATCAAAACCTAATGATAACATTCAGATGACACTTTCACAGTGTGTGAATGGTGATTTCTGCTTGTTTTTGTAAATATTTCACTGGGTTTTGCCCCGTGCTCTTATTGCTACTGTAGGTTAACCCAGCTATTGCTTCTATCATTTTGAAACTGATTGTTACACACATTTCCAAATGTGTGAAAGTGGAAAGAAAAGTGAGATGAACACCAGGTTCCACCTCGGCCGTGGCCACTTCACAGTGGTGCTAACTTGGTGCCGTTTTCCCTACTCCGTTCCCCAGCCCTAGGACTTCACTGTGAGTACGTCACCATATATGCAGAGCAGATAAGGACATTAACAAGAAAACAAAGCCCATTATCCCACTCAAGGAGAATCAAAACCATTCTTTAATCTCATTTAATACCAGGAATATGTTCACATTTTTCCAGCTGATGAAAAAAGAATGTTTTCTGATAATTGTCTGTTTTCAAACAGAACCAAAGTAAGTTCTACACATTACATTTAGCTAATCAATATCTAATTTTTCTATCCCAAGAAATGGGGTCATTTGCCCCACTGCAGGCTGAGCGGATTGCCCCCTCCCTGAGCCTTTTTCTCTCCTTTTGTCCCCCCAGACATTCTTTGAGTGAGCCACACCATGTTTGCTAGAAGCCCTTGCCACATTTGAGTTTGGCCGATTGTGTCCTTCTAGTGAAATTTGCCTTGTTTCTCTGGACCTTTTATTTTGTCAGCTGTCTCTAGGCACTTTCATAGTCTGTTGAACAAATCAGATTCTGTCTCTAAGAATGGCAAGATGTACACACACACACACACACACAAACAAAATATTGTTTATGATTCTAGAGGCGTCCCAGAGCCTCAGAAGCCAAAGACTTAAGTTTGTAATTCTCTGATACAGAACCTGGGGCCTTCACTTCCTTTCCCGTAACTTGGAAGCCTGTGCTGTCCCCCATCCTATTATCAACGAAGTCAGCCTTCACCTTTGATTAGACAGCTTCCCATCGGTCTTTCATCTAATGGCTTAAGTAGCCACCATTTGCCAGTGCCCAGCAGGATGCTTAATTTCAGCCAATCAAAGCTGCTACTTTTCTCAATCAGGACTGTCTCCCTCACCAATCATTACATTTTCAAATGCAGCGTGCCCTGGAAAAGCAGGATCTTTATTGAGAATATTTTTGAGTTCTTACAAGAAGGGACTGTGACAGATAGCAACTTCTAGAAGTAATGGGGATTTGCAATTTGTTGACACTTTCTCCTACTCACGGTAGGTTAACTACAGCAGCAAAAGCAAATGGGCCTGAGACTTGAAGCCTTTCCTCTGAGCTTTCAAACTTACCACACGGGGTATAAGAACCCTCAGGATAAAGACCGATGTTTTCCCTCCCTCCCTCTGCCATTTAAAAATAAATCTATCTGCTGCCTTTCTTACAGAGAACACTCCAACAAAGAACGGGTGGGCCTCAGCAAAGAGAATTTATTGCTAAGAGGATGTACCATTCGGAACACAGAGGCCGTTGTGGGCATCGTGGTCTATGCAGGTTCGTTCTCTGCCATCCTTTATCACGTCCTCCTCTACGTATCTTATGTGTTAGCATGTTTCGTTTACTCAAAATGGAACCCACGGAAGGGAAATTGTGCCCTGATGAACCTAACCACAGATTCTGGTTTTCCTAAATCAGTACAGGGAGTGACAAAACGTTACACAGCCATATTTGATTAAACTGTCAGCCAGAGAGATTTTTAACCACGATGCTTGTTCCCTGCTTTCACTTTGCGCGTTCTCAGCACCATTCTTCTTTCCGTGCAGGACATGAGACCAAAGCAATGCTGAACAACAGTGGTCCACGGTATAAGCGTAGTAAATTAGAGAGAAGAGCCAATACAGATGTCCTCTGGTGTGTCCTGCTTCTCATCGTAATGTGCTTAACTGGTGCCCTTGGTGGGTAAAATTCAATTGTCTGTTCATATCTTGTCAGTATCATCTGATGCAGTTTTATTTTTTCCAAAATAATATCTTATGTTTGGTTTCGGTAAGAGATTTTTATTTGTTAATTTTTCCTACGTGTTTTCTTCTCCCATCCTTTAGCTTGACAAACACTGCTGGTGAGTGTATCCTCTTCCTCTTTGCCACAGTACTGGGAAGAGATTAAGAGGGAGAGTCAAGGAGGAGAGACTGTGTAGCCCTTTGCATTTGAGCTTGTTCTAGAGAGCAGACAATGAATGTTCGAAGCAGGGACTCTCAGCTGTTTCTCTTGAGGGGTGTGGCTCTCCATTTGCATACACGCTGTAGCATCCTCTTGGTGTCTGTGTACTTTTTAAAGGTCACGGAGTATGGCTGAGCAGGTATGAAAACACGCTCTTCTTTAACATCCCCGAGCCGGATGGGCGTGTCGTGTCACCTGTGTTGACGGGATTCTACGTGTTCTGGACCATGATCATCTTGCTGCAGGTAACTTCGGCCACACTTAACAGAGGAATTTCCTGTCTCCGCGCATTATCGAGCTCTCTTCCCCTCCTGTCGCTGACTTTAATTTTCTTAAATTGTTTGCGCTTTTTTAGGTCTTGATTCCCATTTCCCTCTATGTGTCCATTGAAATCGTGAAGCTGGGACAGATCTATTTTATTCAAAGCGATGTAGACTTCTACAATGAGAAAATGGATTCTACCATTCAGTGCCGAGCTCTGAACATCACGGAGGATCTTGGGCAGATCCAGTATCTCTTCTCTGATAAGACAGGAACACTCACTGAAAATAAGATGGTTTTTCGAAGGTGTAGTGTAGCAGGATTTGACTACTGCCACGAAGAAAATGGTGAGTGTGGGGATTCTACAAAAACTACCTCTAACTTTTCCCCCTGGTGCTTAAATCCCTAATAATTCTCTCAAGAAAATGCCAAGTTTAATTTTCCCCAGCTACTTAAATCCCTAATAATTCTTTCAAGAAAATGCCAAGTTTAAGCATTGGGTAAGGAACTCCCCATACTGGACTTTATGCTGCATACAGTGGTTCTCAACCTGTGGGTCGTGACCCCATTGGAAGTTGAATGACCCTTTCACGGGGGGTAACAGTAGCAAAATTTCAGTTATAAAGTGGCAACAGAAATAATTTTATGGTCGGGGTCACCACAACATGAGAAACTCCAAAAGGACTGCAGCATTAGGAAGGCTGAGGACCGCTGTTTTAAAAGTTTGTAGATGCTGAGTGACATACTACACCGTGACACATGCTAGATGCTGAAGGGATGAATACGAAGCAGTGCAGTAATGGATGCTCAATTTCTGTTTGGTTGACACTCCATCTTCCTCAGTGCAGATGTACACACACACACACACACACACACACACACAGAGGCATGGGGGATAAATGGATATGGGAAAAGGGCCGATTCTTCCTAGAACGTAGTTCGAGACATACTATTTTCACTAAAATGAAAGCTATTAACAGCACCTGGTTTTCTATGGCCAGTATTTCAGGATTTTCTAGTCAAAGAATTGCCTAGGAGATAATTCTGTAAAGAATACCGCTGCGTGGAGGTAATCCCTTCACACATACAAATGATTTAAACACATCTGACTGTACTATGATGTGTTTCAGAACCTGCCAACTTGGCAGTGCGACCCACGTCCTGGCATCGTCAGCGGCACCAGCAGCACCTGGGCTGTATTAGGAATGATGGAGCTGTGATTAAAATCCCATTTTAACAGAATTCTCACATGAGTAGTATGCATATCAAAATTAAAATGTGACATCTGAAAAAAAAAAGAAAAGAAAAGAAAGCTACTCCTACTTTTAAGAGAGAGACTATTGAAAAATGTCATTTAAGAAATAAGCTTGTCACATTGGGGTAGTTAAATGCCGAACTGTTGCAAAGGTGTCATGGAGGGTTCGGTGTGTCCTCACGCCATTTGTCCCGTTGACATGGGTCAGGACATGCCTTTGGTGCGTGATGAACTGGTATCAACATATCATCATTACCTGAAATTCACGTTCTGAAAGCACCTTTCGTTTTCATTTGCATCTCTTGTGGTCCCTGGATGACACCCGAGATGCCAGTAACAGCCGTCATTTAGGCTGCTGGATACTTGACATTTTCTAGAGACTTTCTGTCTTTGAATGAACTTATCTGTTTTGACAGGCACTGTTCTGGGATTTGGTAGACTGTCCCTCAATTTGGGATTGTCTGGCAAGTGCCTTTATGATGTATAGTTTGTAAATGTGTCGATCTGTGGAGGCATCAAAGAACACTGTCGAAGAATAACAAATTTGCAGTCAGGCTTCTTAAGCCTGAACCCCGTTTCTGCCACCTGCAAAGTGTGTGTACTTCAGCAAGACTCGTAACTTCTCCGAGCCTCAGGGAGAGAAAAAGTCCATTATAGCATTCAACTTCATTAAGACAGTTTGTGCAGAAATAGACAGAGCATGCCACAGATAAAGGCCTTATATATAAGTTGCGATTATTGTTATTTTTAATCGTTGTTTTGAAAATAAGAACGAGGTCTGCCATTTAAGTAGCTCATGTGTGGGAGACAGATGTGTAATTGTAGTTATAAATTATCATGTAAATTGTCACATTTGTGTTGATATTCCTGGGTCTTGGGGATGGCCCAGTTGTTAAAATGTCTGCAGTGGATGCATGAGGACCTTATTTCGAATCTGCAACACCCACAGAAAAACTATGATTCATGTACCTGTGACTTCACCACTGGAGGGACAAAGATGGGCTTTCCTGCACCCTTGGTGCTCACTGGCCAATGAGCAATCCAAATCAGTCAGCTCCAGCTTCAGTGAGATACACTGTCTCAAAAATTAAAGTGGTTTCCCCTGGCTTCCACAATACACATATGCATACATGTATTATTTAATATGCACATATGCATATTCAAATGCACACACTTACATGAATATGTACATATCATATACCACACACACACGGAAATACTTGCTCCAAATTTGGTTTAACGTTCAGACAGCCAGGTAGTTCTGAAGATGAATTTTGCCCTGATATAATTTCACATATTAAAGGCAGGACATCAGACCTCCCTGGAATGCATGAAATGTAATGAATTAGTTCAGAGCAGAGGTTGGGGTATCAGTTATATGTGGATGATGTGGCTGAGGACAATTGGCTGAATGCGCTGTTTGCAAGTGTGTGAAAGATGGGATGCCATGCGTGGCTGAGAAAAGTTTATTGTGAGTAGTTTGAAGGAAGATGTGCAGATGATGTGAGGAAGAAAGCTCTTGGAACATGCTGTGTTCGCCCTTGTGTCAGCCCTTTGGAGAGCACGTTATAAATTACAACAAGCTAATTTTTCCATAGTCTCAGACCTACTTCATTCAGATATCAAGTCAATGCAAGTAGTAGGCTATAAACAGATTTTGGAATATTTTTGAAGGAAATAGCAGAAGAACACAGAGATTAAGTAAGGAAAAAGAATAAGAGATAATTTGTTTAATGCAGGACCTACCTTTAGATATAGAGAATAATAACAGACTCTGATGGCTGTGTTAGTCAGAAAACGAGTTCTTGGACCATTCTGAGACTTTTAGAGAACCAAAGCAGAAGCTTCTCTATGAGAAGGATTTATTGTCTTTACGACTGTTATCATCATTTGGGCATATTTTACTTACTGATATGATATGAACCTTGGCTTTTCACAGCCATCTTTGATATAATTTTCTCTGGGCCTGCAGGTTTAGCTCCAGTGACTCTGTTTTCTTGAATCACACTGTAATTTTCTTGACCTATATGTTTCTAGAACTTTCCCCAAAATGAGTAAAGGTTGAGTCATTCTGTCTCTTACATTCCATCATCGAAATTCTACTTATTGAGCAAGTTTGTCCTACAAATAGCTGAGCTACTTGATGTCATACTAATTACACAGCCATGTGATCCCCATTGATGGCTCAGAGGAATCTCATGAACCCATTAATGAGAGTTTTGAGGCATTTTAGTTGTTTTAAAAATGGCATGTCTTCCATATAACAGGAAGGAAAAAAATGGCGTCTCATTACCAACAAATTTCTTGAAGTATTTTAAGTTTTATCAATCTCAACACCATTCCTTATAATATGTCGATGTCTAACCACTGAGTGCCAGTAATCATTGCCAAAAGTGCCACAGAGAACCTATTCATCCACAACCCCCCAAAAACACAACAAAAAAAGCAACAATGACACAACAAAAACGATTTAACGTCTAACTGTTTAGAGTTAAAGACGCATGGTGTAGGGATACGACTGTTGGCTTTAGAAGCAAGAAGACTAAATTTAAACCCCTGCTCTACCTCTAAGCAGCTGTTTAACCCTGTTTAGAATATTTAGTCTCTCTGTTTGGTCTCCTCAGTTGCAAAAGGAACAACAGTAGTTCCTGGCGGATAAAAGTATTTTGAAGATTAAAACGCGCGCGCGCGCGCGCGCGCGTGTGTGTGTGTGTGTGTGTATGACTTTTGATGAAAAAATACTTCAATAACCGTAAGTCCCTACCCATAAGTTTCCCTTAGCACAGATACATAATTTATGTGCCTATTCATCCATTATTCATTTACCAAATACTTGTTTAAGATTAAAAAAACAAACTCAAGCTCGTAGAAATTTGACAGGAGAGATTGACATTGTGTTAACTTGGCCACACTCGTGCATATGGCTATATTTAGAAACACGATAGCGTTAGCTCACAGAATCTTGGCTATGGTGATCTTAAGAGCAATCTAGTCTGTTTCGGTGAGATGACAAATAAGGTTTATTTATTTTCTTATAAAATATGAGTGTTGAGCCAGGTTCAAGGCCAGCCTGGTCTACAGAGCTAATTCCAGGACAGCTAGGGCCACATAGAAAAAAAAAACCTGTCTCAAAAACCAAATAAAATAATAAGATAAAATGGAGGTGTTAGTAGTTCCCACTCAGAGGAATGTCATAATGATTTAGCGAAGCAAAGGCCTGGTGTATGGTGTCCTTCAGCCCATGCAAACTGTCAATGTCCAGTGAATAGTCTGGATGGGAGCTGATGGGTTCATCTGCACTAGAGGGCTTCAGAAAGAGTCAGTGTTTTCAAGCTGTGTCTGTAATCTCAGCACTTCAGAAGTGGAGGGAAGAGGAGCAGGCGTTCAAGGCTGTCCTTGGCTGAATGCTGAGGATCCCGTGCTTCAGGAGACTTTGTCTCAACCAGCAAACAACAGAAAGGGGAAAAAAAAAAAGAAGAAAAGCAAGCAACAATATTGCTTCTAAGCCTTTCCATTCCCTTAACAATATAGCAAAATTATTACAATAAATAAAACATAGAAACACTGTATAAAACAATTTTCCCCAGTCTATATCTAATGCAATAGCTGGACTTAGGCCGAATAGACACAGCCACCAAGACAAAGAGTATGTTCTCACTGTCTGCTCCTCTGATGCAGTTTTAATAATAAGTGAGAGGAAGAAGTCTGCTCTTGCAGGTCTTCTAAGGGAAAAAGTTAGCAGGAATATAAAAATAGATCGGTAGTGATCAGGACCTGGCAGACAGTCAGAATAAAGTGTGTCATATGAGGACTGGATGGCTACTTTGGACTGCGTGCCTAGGCAGGACCTTTTAAAGAGGGACATAGAGTCTAACATCTGAATGACAAAATCTTGATGTTCAGGAGAAACGGATTTCCAGCCCCAGGGAGCAACTCTTACAGGCCCTCATGCTGTAGGAGAGCTCCATTTTCAGAGTAAGCCTGTGAGTCTGGATTAGACTAAGGATGTAGAGCAGTGTGTCCCAGCCTTCCTAATGCTGTGACCCCTTCATACAGCCCCTCCTGCTATGGTGACTCCTAACTGTAAAATTATTTTCATTGCTACTTTATAACTGTAATTTTGCTACCATAATGAATTGAAGTGTAAATACCTGTGTTTTCTGATGATCCTTTGGGAGTTGCGACCCACAGGTTGAGAACCGCTGATGTAGAAGCAGGAGGGAGGTAAAGGTCACGTTGGGTTGTTTAAGGCAGGATAAAGAGCCCAGTTTCTGCTGAGGGGATCCCGAGGCCGTCGGAAAGTGTTTTTACTGGATGCGATCTCATCCGCTTTCTCCTTAGGAAGGTCACTCTAGCTACCGTGTGAGGAGTGGATTTCAGAGGGGCAGAGAGACTAGTTTTGAGGTATTTCACTAATTCTGTTGAAAGATGATGGCCAAGCTGACTAAGGTAATGGAAACAGGGAGAAGTCTGGACACCCAGGATAGGTTTTTGTATGACGGACAAGTGCTGACAAGCCTCTGGATACGAGGAAGAAGGGAGGGGTCCTGAGTCATGTATGTGTGGTTCAGTGGATTTGCTGTCAGTGTGGGAATAAGGTGATGTCAGGTAGCTGCAGTGTCTCGGGTTGTAGAGGGCTAATAATACACGGTGAACAAATGTTCTGTCAAGAAGGGATTGCTAAAGTTTTTTGGCTGCCATATCGACAGGACAGTACTGCTGTACAAAGGTGAGGAGGAAAGGGAAATAGCTCAGCTCCATCCAGGTGGAGCTGAAGATTACTGGTTTTTATTCATTTATTCCTTGAGTATTTCTTGAGTTATCTATGAGCAACACATTGGACTCTTGGGGCATATTAACAAAACATGAGTTTGTCTGACCATTTTAAGGTGTATATTTTGTGGGGTGATAAAATCAAAAGTTTATTTGGGCAGTAATGGTAAGATTAGAGTCAATAGTAAATACTAGGGCCCTACCTGAGAAATCTTTGCTATTAAGGAGGATGGCCTCAAGGGAGGTCCAGGCATCCATTGCACCACTGTCAGTCTTCTAGAAGAGCCTTATGATAACCAACTGCAGGTGTCATGTGGAGAGCTGAATACACGAGTCTGGATTCCCGTGAGAGGTTAGAGTTGAAGATGCAGGTCGTTCTCGTTAGGGTCACTCTTGCTGTGATGAAACACAATGACTAAAGCAAATTGGAGAGGAAAGAGCTTGTTCAGCTTATGCTTCCCCATCCCAGTTCATCACCAAAGGGAGTCAGGACAGGAGCTCAAGCAGGGCGGGAGCCTGGAGGCGGGCACTGGTGCAGAAGCCATGGAGGAGTGCTGTTTGCTGGCTTGCTCAGCTTGCTTTCTTATAGAACCCAGGACCACCAGCCTAGGGGTGGCACCACAAATCATGGGCTGGCTTCTTCCTTATCAATCACTAATTAAGAAAATACCCTCCAGGCTTGCCTACAGCCTGGTCTTATGGAGGCGATTTCTCAATTAGGGTTTACTCCTCTCTGATGGCTCCAGCTTGCATCAGGTTGATATAAAACTAACCAGCACACAGGTTTCTAGGCTGCACATAAAGACATTCCGTTTCAAAGACCAGACCATGTGAGAATGCCTAGAAGAGATGTGTGGATGGAGAAAAGCAGGCAGTCCTGCCGCTTGCCAGTAACTGAGGCATGAGAAGAAAGGTAGGTGGAGACTGGATATAGCATAGCTTCTTAGTTAGAGTTTCTATTGCTGTGAAGGGACACCATGACCACCACAACTCTTATAAAGGAAAACATTTCACTGGGGTGGCTCACAGTTCAGAGGTTCAGTCCATTATCATCATGGCAGGACATGGCAGTGTGTAGGCAGATATGGTGCTGGAGAAGGAGCTGAATGTTCTACATCTTGCAGGCAATTAAGAACTCAGCTGAGACACTGGGCAAAGCTTAAACAAAAAGAGACCTCAAAGCCGGCCTCCACAGTGACAAACTTCCTCTAACAAGGCAGTACCTACGCCAACAAAGCCAGACCTCCTGGTTGTCACGATGGCTGAGTGGTCTAAGGCCCCAGACTCAAAGCCACACTTCTCAATAATGCTACTCCCTATGGACTTTATAGGAGCCAATTACATTCAAACTACCACACATAGTGTTAGAGTATTTGACTAGGATGCTTGAGGTTCTAAGCTCAATGCCCAACCCAACAAAAAGGCAACAAACTCTACCTGAGGGCTGGGGGGATAGTTTAGTCTATAAAACCCTTCGCTTGCAAGCATGAAGTCCTGAGTTTATTCCCCAGAATCCACATTGTGAAAACCTGCCATGGTGGTGTCCACTTGTAATCCCACCACTGAGGAGGTGGAAACAGGCAGATTCTGGAGCTTGCTGGCCAAGCATTCTACCTTCCATGGTGAATTCCAAGTCAAGTCAGTGATCTCAAAACACAAAGGAAGAAACATAAAACAATGAGTCCTGGGAAACAATACTCAAGGTTCTCTGTCCTTCACATACCTTCACATACATGTACACACATATGTACCCCTACACACCCACATATGTGTGAAGTCACACATACACAAAGTAAAATGAAATAAACATTTATGAAAGACACCTGGAAAAACTAAACAGCTAGTGATACCAGTGTAAGAGAGAAAACAGGTAAGGATGATGCTAGAAGCCCAAAGAGTTATTTCTAGAAGGAGTTGACTGTTATTAAGGGTTCAAATGGGATAAGAACACACATGCACATATATGTGTATATGTATATATACATACATATACCAGGCTTGGCAAGATGGAGCTCACAGGTGACCTTGAGAAGAGATGAATGAAGAGTTAGGACAGAAAGTCTGGAAATTGGTTGAGGAGAGATTGGTGTATGTGAATGATAAATGGGAAAAGAAAGCCCTTGAGGACCCAGAGGGCAGGATCCAAATCACAGATGGAGGGCTTGGCGTTTGAAACAAGGAGTTCTCCATCACGGTAGGATAGCAGACAGAATGTGGATAGAGCTGCAGACAAGATGCTAGACCTACGCCATTGTATCTTCACTTCCCAATAAAGGGTAGGGTAAGTTTATTGACTATAGATTCTCATGGGGAGAATTTGGAGGCCAGGACAAACAAAAGATTGTGTCAATAGCTCAGGAACTACCTTCCATATTCAGCCTGCTAGTTCTTCTCGATGGTGACCAGTGTGAATTTTATTCTACAGCCAAGAGGCTCGAGTCCTACCAGGAAGCTGGCTTTGAAGAGGACGAATGCGCAGACACTCTGAGTGGCTCCATCAGCAACATGGCAAAGCCCAGAGCCCAGGGCTGCAGGACAGTTCCCAGGGGGCCTTTGGGAAGCAAGCCTTCAACCCATCTGTCCGGGAGTGCTACTGCCCTAGGAAGCGGAGAAGGATCTGGGGAAGTGCCTCATTCCAGACAGGCTGCCTTCAGTAGCCCTATTGTAAGTGTGGCAACATCACCCCATCCTGAACAGAACAGTCCCCTGGCTAGAATATCCCAAACAGCACTGCTTCTCTTGGTCTAGAAAAGAGGTGACATCAGTACAGTTCAGCATCGTAGTGGCATATAATAAGTTTTTAGAGATAATACGAATTTGAGATTTGTTGCATAATTCAGTGTTGAGAAGTCAGGTAGCATTTCTGAAAAATGTAATATTTCTCATCAGGGCTGATCCTATCAGAAGGCTACTTTGACTTAAGGATAATGACGGACTCTAAGATCCACCAGTATTTAACCAGAATTATCTTGGAGACAAATATGTTTGACTAATGAATATATTTTTTTTTGGTGTCTTTTTCTCACTGTTGTGTAATCTTTTCTCTGCATTCCTCCCAGACTTCCCCATCCCTAGCTCCACAAAGGGCGTGTTCTCATTTTCATTGCAGAGCTCTTCAAGGGATCTGTGTCTCGGGGCACACTCTTCAGAACTGACTACTCACCCCCATTAACACACCCATTTTACTGCAGGAGAAAGTAGAAGACCGTGTAGAACCTGGGAAGCAGAAAAGACGCTTATGTAAAAGAATTAGAACTCCGCACTTTCACTGGATTTAAGACGACTTCTCTAAAATGTCCCCTGCCTTCTCAGCCTTTCGGGTTCATTAACACCCATGTTTAACCAAGGTGGCAGCGTAACAAGAGTAGAGCAGCTTTGGGCCCCCTTGGGTTGCTACATTACAGTCATGGCCTGACTTTCATGATATAGCCATGATATAAGTAGGCCCCAGGTGGCTGACTTGACCTGAGTTCTCCAGGGCATCTCTAGGCTCTTCGCCAACTTGCTGTGAAATATGTAATATGCAGTAATGACGTGGGCACCACCGACTCAATTCTGTGGCGCTAAGGACATAACACCCCTGACAGTACAACTTCCTATGTAGCAGTCTGCTCTGAAAACATCTATGCTTAATTTTTTTTTTCCTTTCCAGATTTTGAAAGGCAGTTAACAAGTATTATGCAGGTCCCTTTTTTCTGTACTCATTTTAAGCTTATGCCTGAAAGAAATGTATATGTGTATATATTCTCTTTTCTCTACGATATTATCTTTCTTTAGCCATCTGCTGAACTGGTACATTCTCTGCACATTTGAAGGTAAACACGCTTCAACTCACATCTAGTTGGTGGTAGACCAGTGCTGGCATCAAGGTGGGGCTGCCTGGCCCTCCTCTGGTTCCTGAGCAGGCATCATCCTTCTCTCAGAACAAAGAGGTACTTTGTTCTGGAAGCCTTCGTGCCTTTTTCTGTGCCATCTTCCCTGCCTCTCTTTATTGAATCTGATGAAACATTAAGGGCAGCCACTGATACCTGTACCGAAGGCTTCTCAAAAGAGTTGTCCCACTGTCCCTTTGTCTGCATAACATCGGCCTTATTTCTGTACCTGACATTGTACCAGTAGCACCTTGAGAGCAAGGACTTTTTAACATTTGAATCCTAACACGTAGTTCAGTGCCTGCCACATCCATTCTCAAAACAACAATTTGGAAGGTTGTTGAATGAATCTGATTTCCAGACTCAATCTTCCCACTTGTTCGGTTGTTTCCACTTGCCCTGTCCTCCAGTGTCCTGTGTTCTCTTAATTATTTGGAAGTTCCAGGGTTGCTTTTGTTCTGTGTCTTGCAAAGCCACACTCCTACACCTACGATAAAGTGATCATGTTCTCCCACGAACCATGACTCTCTCTCTCACTCTTGAGTCTTAAGTCTTGTAAGCTGGGCTTAATATTTTGAGAAATCTATATAATCTTTGACCCGAAATCCACTGTACAATTCCTTTTGCATTTGTTCTAGAAACCCATCTATGAGGCCTAAGCTAAGAGCACCTTTGTGTGTTCCGAGTACCTAGAAAACAGTGGTTAGGTAGTACTCACAGGAGGGTGGTAGGCAAACTACACAGGGCACATGAAATCCTCAGAACTGCTGGCTCAAGGAGTTTGTATAGAGGAAAAATCCCATGTGTGGCCTTTGTATTTTTCCTTCAGGTGTGTGGTACTTAGGAGTCAGAAGAGTCCAAGAGAAGGCTTGTGTGTCCACAAAACTTGAAGTAACCTAAGTAGAATCAAAGTCCTTGGGACTGCAGGGCCAGCAGGAACTGAAATCAAACCTTAGAAGAGGAGGACTAGAGAGGAGTGGGGACAGCCTCACAATGGCCTGGTCAGCTCTGTCACCCGGTAGAGCATCTTGTTCCATCACTAAAATGTGGGTGTTTAGAAGTTTGTAGAGACAATTAAGTACTGTTATTCTTGATTTTAAAGCAGGCAACATTTAAATTATGTTGAAGCCATACGAAAAGCTTCAGCAAACAGGGAGGAGAGCAAAGAGCAAAGTCTAGCTGGATTGTGCATATTTAACTTGGATCCAAATAAGGGAGAAAAATAATGAAAGGAAAAAAAAGCCTGAAATGGTCAGGAAACAGTGACAAAAACTGGTGCCCAGCTGGCTGCCTCCTCCTTTCCTCTGTCTAGGACCACATGGGAGGCTGCCACCCCTAGTTCTGATCTTTCATTAAACCTCCCTGGAAACAGCCTCACAGGCACACCCAGGATTTTTTTTCTTAGCTAATTATATATCCAGTCAAGTTGGCAAGGAATGTTAACCATGTCACGACCATGTCCCTGCTGGACTCTGCGCCAGCCACCTCTCCTGGCTTCCCTGCAGTCTGTGTGCTGGGTGTCCCTGCAGCACAGTGGTGTTTCTGCGGGACCGTGGTTCTAAGCAGTGCTCTCCAGCAGAGAAGCTGTGTGAAATCAGGTTTCTGCTCTGACACACGTTTGTTACCACTAGTACTCTCAGATGAGTCTGCGATGCACTGCACGAGATGAAACGGGGCTCCCGCACCCCATTAGTGACAGAACTTCTTAGAGTGAATCCTTACCAGGAGTTCTTAGGAGGAGGCTGCAGTTGCTTGAAAGCTCTTGTAAATAAATACCCTGGCTATGAAATATAGATTAGCCTGCTTATAATATTTTTCTTATAGACAGTTTTATATAATATTAATGAATCAAACAAAAAGTGTTTTGTTCAGTACTCTGATAGGAACTAAATCTCACTTTTGAAATAATTGATGTCCTTTGGTCATTGAGTAAAATACAGCCATGCTAGAATTCTGAGGACAATCAAATATGTACCTGGCATTATGTGTTTCAAAGTAAGAAACACCCTAGATTTTGGTTGAAGGGGCTGTTTCTGCCTCCTGTTTAACTGAAAGGTCAAAATGTTCTTCATTAATAGTATCGAATCTGCATTTTACTTTTATTTATATAAAATTCAGTCTGCTTCATTTTATTGCTTTATTTCTCAAGATATCATATGCATTAAATTTTTAAAAATTGTATTTACTTAACTGGTAAATGGCTCAGTGGATTAAGGCATTGCTGCTAAGCCTGACAGCCTCAATTTAATCTCTGGAAGGTGCATGGTAGAAGGAGAAAACCAACTTCCTTAAATTGTTCTCTGATCTCCATATGTGCTGTAGTACGCGCATGAGTGTGCACATATATATGCACAAACACTCACATACATGTACATGAATAAGTATAGGAAAAAATGAAAATTTAGCTTGCCATCTCCCGCCTCATTTACCTACCCACTGTAGACACTCCTTACGTTAATAACAATACTTTGTCATATTGCCTCTTCAGGAAACAGACGTGGTGCCAGATACCAGACTTCTGGACAAGTTTAGCCAGATTACCCCTCAGCTCTTCACCCCACTGGATGGTACCACACAGAGTCCACCCCTGGAGATTTTATACATCCTAGACTTCTTCATCGCTTTGGCAATTTGTAACACGGTAGTGGTTTCTGCTCCTAACCAGCCTCGGCAAAAGGTAACCTCTAGTGCAAACAAGGGTTTGCTCAGGTTGTGGACAATGTGGGGGTTACAGGTGTCTGTAGTGGCTTTGTTATGCAAAGATAGTGCATAACAATAGCAGCAAGGGTAGCGGTGCAAACCATCTACTCAGAACTTTTCTAGGTTCTGCGCTTACATATACTCTAAGAGATTTACTGGTGCTAATGTGTCTAGCCCTCTCAGAGCCCCAGGAGCTAAGGACTCTGGCTCTGTTCTTTGGCATCTTAAAGATGCCTTGGAAGGATTTCACCAGGGTTGCAAAGCCAGTGAGTGTAGGGGTTGAGCCGAGACAGTGGGACTCTGGGCTCACTCTGTCACTTGCCGAGGACAGAATCACTGATGGGAACTTCTGTTTTGCCTTCACTGCCTTACTAAATTGAAGTTGTCTGTGAGCCTTCTGAGACCCGTAACATCATATCCATGACATCAAACAAAGTCTGAGGCATTAATTTAATGGTCCCGACTCTGACGAGCTTTCTTCATGTACCAGCTAGGTTTGTTTTAACTCAGTCTGCCCGTTTTCCAGTGTGAGTATGATGTGCCAGGATGCAGCAGTTCCTCAGTAGAGTTGTAGCTTAGAGCTCAAGGAAAATTCATTTTCCACTTAAGAAGGCAGACGCTGTCGAGCCCGGTGATCTAGCGAGGCGTGCTAGCCTCCTGGTGTATCTTGCCTTTCCCGCACATCCACTTAAAATTCAATTTACAGCAAAACCCAATTAAATTTTAATTTTCCAACCGATCATTTTCTTTTGGCAACTTCAGAGGTGGGAGCTTTAACGTAAAAGTAATTCACTTCCAATTAAGCTGCACCTGATCGGAGAGACTTCACTTTACCTGGTGTTGCCTGGGAAGATGCTCTGGAAAAGCGATTATGTAATTAGAGAATAAACGGTGGGGTTCATGAAAAGTTGTACTACACAATACTTTATACCAGTCCTCAAAGTTGGTCCTTTTGGTGTCTTCTTCCTACAAAGTATTGTTGATGTCCTAAAGGATGTACCACTTTACTGCTCGGAATAAAATCTTTGGAGACATAAAGAGCCCCTGTTTTTCCCCGATTCTTGGGGTAGGGAGAGGAAGGGAGCATCCTGTGAGAAACAGAGACTTCACCATGCAGATGCTTGCCCCCCTTTACGTCTGAGTCACTGATGACATCAAAGACTGATCAGCAAGAGCCCTTCCAATGTTTATGAAGTTAGTTTCTGAAGAAAACATTTTAGTCCTCCACGTACTTCTAATGACTAAATTTTAGAATCCATCGGGTGGTCGTGTGCCTGAACCACAGTAGACATGAAATTAAATCCCTGATACTAGAAGTGTAAAAGATGACAAGGTACAAATGAGAACAAACTGTGAACGAGTAAGGAGTTAAAATCACGTGATGATGTAGATAAGTTCCTCTTTAAATGGCTTTCATTTAACAGCCAGCTTTGCTGTAAACGTTAAGATAAGAACCTTTTATAGGCTCTGAAAAGAGAAAGGAGAGATGTATTCTGCTAGCCCTCTGACTGATTTCCTCCCGTGAACTTGGTGGTGTGTGGTCTTGTTTTTTTTTTTTTTTTTGTTCTATCTTCTTTTACTGTTTTCTGAACTTTTCCTGTAATATTCCAAAAGCATTGAACTTTTCTAAGAATATATCCATGCTGTCTATAAACATCACCTTAAAATAAATTTCAAGACGTTTTGTTTTGATATTGATTAATTAATTTGAATTCTTAATTTAGTGGTGGTAGATTGTTTCATAGCTGATTCTTTGAGACAGGGTCTCACTATGGAGTCCAGCCTGGCTTTGCATTGGGGTCCTCCTGCCTCTGCCTTCCAAGTGCTGAGATTATGCTGTACCTGGTTCAGTTGGCTTTTGATTGCTATCACTAAGCTCTGACAATAAAGATTATAGATATTATACATGGAGAATTATTTCCTTAAAACAAATTCTATAAGAAAGGCCAATATTAGCATTTTGTATCCTTTGTTCTCAGTTGTGAGAGACATGTATAATGCCATTGTGTGTGGCACATTCTTGTCCCCGGTGGCTTTTATGTCTTTCTGTTTGCTGTGGAATTTCTAGGGAGAAAGCAGATTGACAGGTAAGACTTTTTCATGTCTCATTTTTCCGGCAGTTGTGATGACCTAATTTTGTACCTGTTTTTGAATCCTCCCTCATTATCTTTCCTAGATTGGGCTCTCCTCACTGACTGGAATGCCCATCAAATCTTTGGAAGAGATTAAAAACATCTTCCAGAAGTTGTCTGTCCGGAGATCAAGTTCACCATCTCTTGCCGGTGGGAAAGACCCGACATCTGGGACTCCTTCTGCCTTTGTGAGCAGAATCTCTTTTTTTAATCGAACAAAACTGTCACCTCCTATGGAGGATGAGTCTTCCCGGATGGGTGAAAGCTCCCAGGCCAGTAATTCATCATGCTCTACAGAAACTGAGGCACGAAACAGTGCCGCTGGCTCGGCTGAAGCCCTAGCTGGGCCACCGCCCTCGGCCTCCAACCTGTGCTATGAAGCTGAGAGCCCAGATGAAGCAGCCTTGGTGTACGCCGCCAGGGCTTACCGTTGCACTTTACAGTCTCGGACCCCAGAGCAGGTCACGGTGGACTTCGCTGCTTTGGGCTCATTAACATTTCAACTCTTACACATCCTGCCCTTTGACTCGGTAAGGAAAAGAATGTCAGTGGTGGTCCGGCATCCTCTTTCCAAAGAAGTCGTGGTGTATACAAAGGGCGCCGATTCTGCGATCATGGAGCTGCTGTCAGTGGCTGCCCCAGGTAGGCTCATGCAGTGGTCGTGGTGGCCATCAGAAGGGCTGGGGAGTCAGCCGCCACTCCCAAGTCTTTTGGTAAAGGCTACAAGACGCACTTGGAAAGGGAAAAGGCTACCTAGGGTTGGGTGGGAAGGCAGAGGGCTTCTGAAGCTGTAGAAACCATGGTTGTTTGTATCTGTAATCCACCCTTAGCTGTGCCTCTGTAAGGCTGCATGTTTGGGGAAATGGATATCATAAACCTCATAATGGGCTCCTGAGAGCCATACCGTCATTCTGTGGCCTACCAAGGGAGGTGTGCCCCGGAGAATAGGAAGCGCTGACCCATCATGGCAGCATTTGTATCAAAGCTTTGCCACTTCCTCTGCCCAGGGGCAGAGAAAGTGAAGAATTCTGCTGCTGACTTCCTTCCCTAGACACACAGTTGAGATTCAAAGCAAAAATGCCTTTTGTTTATTATGGATTAAACTGTCATTTTTCAAAGGGGAAAAAAGTCTAATTGGGCAGCCTGGCAGGAGTAAAGATTTTCTGTTCATGGTTTCAGATGGAACAGACCTGGAAAAACAACAGATGATAATAAGGGAGAGGACGCAGAGCCACCTGGATGAGTACGCCAAACGGGGGCTGCGTACCTTGTGTATCGCTAAGAAGGTGAGACTACCCGGTGTACTCCAGGCTCGCCATTTCTGGTTTGCCCATCATCACTGAAAATGAATGGGTATTGGACCTCAATCCCAGTCCAGATACCAGGGAGGTTCCTCGGACTAGGGCTGTTAGGAAAAAATCCTAAGACGGGCGGCTCCGCTGGCGCAAAGAAATCAAATTAGGTCAGATCAAACCAGATTAAAATGTCCATCGTTTTATTAAATACCGTTCTCTTGGGTGGCCGAGCGCGTGGCAGGAAGACGGGAAAGCAGGGAGCACATGCAAATCTGGAACTACGTGTTTCTCCTCCGGGAGCCCACTTAAATACCCTGTGGAGATGGTCCTGACCCTCCCCCAGGGAGGGGTCGGGACCTGGCATCCTGAGATTTGAAGTCCAAACCAATGCAACTCCTAGGCCAGGGGGCTGGGATGGAAGCCGGGGGCTGGAGTTTCACTCCCGACTTAACAAGAGTCCCTTATGTAGCCTCTTCATTCTATATACTACTGGGTCAGATTTCTCTCCCCAAAGGTTTTTGGCAGGTGCCTGAGTGTTCTAATCTCAGAATTCTTACACATCTCATGCATCCCACATTACATACAAGTGGCTTTGCGTGGAAAACAGTTGTTTTTCTGGAAGTAAGATCCCAACATCTTATTATATTTCCCCCAGAACCTTTTGTATAATGCCCCCCCATTAGCATTAAATGTGATTTTGAAAAAAATAAACAGAGAGAAGCTTTCATTTTCCTTTCATAAAGAGTTGGTAGTTTTGCTTTGTCTTGTTTTCTATCTGCCCATAAATTGATCTTTCAACTCAACTTGGCAGGTTTTTATCCCAGTTTTGACTGTTCTTTACCGAAAGCAGTCCTTGAGACACGGCCTGTCATTTCTAGATGAAAGGTTGAACAGCAAGAAATAACCAGAGCCTTAGAAGTGATTTGGGGACTTTTATTGCCAAAACCTCTCACTGACTAGTTCTTAGTTATTGTGGGAGGCAAAGTGGAACTAGCTCTGTTGGGACCTCCACGGAACCCAGGCAACCAGCTGCATGAAGGATCAAATGCCGCTGGTTCAAGAAGAACGGAGAGTTCATGGCCGAATCAGCTCTGGCTTCTCACTTGGATGTAGTCCAATAGATGGTATATTTCCCCAAACCAAATTACCTGACAGGAAAAAAGGAGTATAAGAGAGAAAAATTACTTAGCACCCTCCACTCAGCCCTGCTTTTAAGACCCGAAATGCAGATTCACCCGTGATGGCAAGACTCTGGTTCCTTCTCCAAGAGTTGTGTAACGTTTTGTTAGAACCAAGACCTTGCGTTTCCTAGAGGGCTACTCTTACCTTTTCTGAAGCTAACCATATGAATGAATCTTCAAAGACCTCTGAGGTGCTGGTGGCTGCAGCATCCCTCAAATAAACAATCTTGACATTTTCTTAGCTGCACCATTAGAATGCTCCCAGATTTAACCACCAACAGGAGGTTAAATTAAATAGGCTAACCCCCTTTCACCAAAGATCATGTCTAAAATGTCCCGAGAAGACTAAGCTGTGATGTCTCTCCATCAGCAGACTTGTGTCTGCTTGATCAGAGTTTGGGACTCTTGTGTCCTTGTGCTGAAGGGATTTGGGTCAGACACAAGTGTGCCCAGAGTGGGAAATTTAGTAATGAAGTTGTTGGCATGGAATTTTGCCACCTGTCAGTCCTGGCAAGGTGCTGCAAAGTTAAATGGCCTGACTCCTGGCCTCTTTTCTTCCTCTCTTAGGTTATGAGTGACCCTGAATATACAGAGTGGCTGAGGGATCACTTTTTAGCTGAAACCAGCATCGACAACAGGGAGGAACTGCTAGTTGAATCTGCCATGCGACTGGAGACCAAACTCACGTTACTCGGTAGGTAAAAGGTGCGGTAGCCCCTGCGCAGAGAGATTCGCCTGTAAATCCATTCTTCCCCAATCCCCTTGATCAAGGAAGCATGCTTGCTTCTCACTACTGTGTCCGTCCTGATCTCTTCTCGTGTTCCAGTGCCTTCAGACCTGTGGTCCGCTTCAGTTTGCCTGTGGTGGGAACAGGGTAGGCATTCTAGGTATGGTATAAAGCCAAACCACCCAACATGGCGAGAAAAGCTAAACAAACATCTGAGTCTGAGAGGGGGGGTTTGGTTTTGTAAATGTCTTGCAAGGGATTGAGGGAAGTCTTAGATATGTGTTGTCTTCTTATATCTTATATATATATATATATATATGTATGTATAAATATATATATGTATATATCAGCAGACATACATCTTATTTAGATGAAATAGGGCCCACAGTAGTCAGTGACGTGTTCATGCTCAAAGGTTTAGACATGAGCTGAAAAACAAGGAACTCCTCTCCCCATGTACAGGGTCCATGTCCTTTATTCTGTACCTGCAAGTGAGCTTGGAGGCTCTTTTTCTTCTTTTCTTTCCTGATCCCAACCCAAACTGCACAACGGACACCTCTCGTATCAGGTTGGCCTGCACCTGGGAATCACTTAAAGAGCTATAAACAGTCCAGGGCTGTTGGTCTGTGTGTGACCGTGACACTGGAGTTGCTGAAAGCCTGCTGAGTCACTTTGAGGGGCCCTCCGGTTCTGAAACACTGGCTTGGAGCTGAGATGTAGATTCTGATAGAAGAGTTAAGCACCAAGAGAGCCCCTCTGAGCTCCCTGCCTCTGTCTAGGTGGAAGCATGATCTCATTAAATCTGTCAAGTAGAATAGGCATGTCCCTTTAAAACATTAATAATTTCTTTATGATGGTGTAAGTAGCTTAGATGTATGCCTCCTAATCTGCATTTGCAAATGAAATAGGCTCCAGGTCTAATGCCAAAACTCAGTTGGCAGCAAAATCAAACCCGAACTGATGTAACACTATTTTTAGTATCGATACTCCAATTAACATGAAAATCTGCTGGTTTTTCTATAGCAATATAAATATGTGTGACTAACAGGTATTACAAAATAGAAAGTGTATAGCCTATCACTGGTGGCAAAGACATGAATTCCAAAGCACATCTGGGCTGAATCCAGTCCCAGAAAAGGACATTGTGGACTGACATTTTGAAAGAGCATCCTAGCCAGGCGGTGGTGGCGCACGCCTTTAATCCCAGCACTCGGGAGGCAGAGGCAGGCAGATCTCTGTGAGTTCGAGGCCAGCCTGGTCTTCAGAGCGAGTTCCAGGACAGGCAGAGCTGTTACACAGAGAAACCCTGTCTCAAAGGGTTGGGGGAGCATCCCTAACAGACATTGTATCTTGTAGCCAAGAGGGTTCTTTAAGAGCCTGCCCTCACCCTTGGAAATTTCATAGAACTCAGGGCCAGGTTATTCAAAGCAGAGAATCGGCTTTTTAATTTGTAGTTAAGAATACGAACCAAAATGAGAATGAGTTAGATAACTCCACCACGATCCTTGGTATTTTACGTCTACTCAACTGCTTTCTTTGGCTCTCTGGAAGCTACTGGGGCAGTTTATATATAGTTCATGGCTGAGTGTCCCATGGATAAGATTCAATGAGTGGTCTCGTGAGTCCTAGCTGGCTCTGATTTCTAAGCAACCTTTTTTGGGGGGGGTTTGATTACTTTTCAGGTGCTACCGGCATTGAAGACCGTCTGCAGGAGGGAGTCCCCGAGACGATAGAAGCCCTTCACAAAGCTGGCGTCAAGATCTGGATGCTGACAGGGGACAAGCAGGAGACAGCTGTCAACATAGCTTATGCATGCAAACTCCTGGAGCCAGATGACAAGCTCTTCATCCTCAATACGCAGAGTAAAGTATGCACGATGATGCTGAGCCAAATATTCTTTTAACTCAAAAGCCGATGGGGCATTAGGCGACTGATGTATGCAAGGAAAAAGAAAGCTCATCTGACCGTCTCCAGCCCTTGATGTTATGCTCCCGGGTGACCTTGCTCGTATTATGGAGGATACCATAGTTTTTCTAAAAGCCTTATTCAGAGGCATCATGGATGAATACAAGCATTAGAAACAAAAAAAGGTCTTCCCTTTTTATTTTGGGTACCCCTCTCCACATTCTCACTGTATGACCAGGGAGTTGACAAAACAGACAAAAATGAGAATACATATATATGAAATTTTTGAGACAGGAACCTACCTCCTTTTCAAGTTGGAAGGAGGTAGTAAATTTTCTTAGTAACTAGATATTTTTATGATCAATTTTAAAATTAGGCTCTCGGTGTAATCCTGCCCTCTAGTGGTAAATTTAGATACTGCTCCTAAGAGCACCCAACATTGTAGAAATGAAGGGGATGTGGTGTTAAAACAAAGCTAGGTGAAAAGATTTTGGATAGCCCATTATTTATTTATTTGTTGTTTGTTTGTTTGCTTGCTTGTTTAAGCTACAGTTAATCACTAGGATGGACATTTGAATAAGTAAGTGGGCATTCCACACACTCTCCTAGCAGAGAGACACACTCCGAGATGTGTGCGTACTGTTTATTTTGCTTGAAAGATCGTCTGCCTCCCCGCTTCTGTGTGAAAGCCATCACTCTGTCACAGCATCCTGACTTTGTGATGTCTTCTGTGCCACCTCATGGAAGCAGGTTCTGCAGACCCTGCCACTTTGGGGTAGCTGTTTTATGGCTAAGCCTCCCGTGACGCTCATCTCCGTAATGTGTCTTGAGGAAAGAGCGCTGCCCTTACCCAACACAGACTGAGCTCTCTTTTATGGCAGACCTGGGGCCACATTCATAACCAGAGTCAGCACCCAGTCCCGTCAAGGAACAGAATCATTTCAGTGGCTCAGAATGGATGTGCCCTGAGTGGCTAGTGAAATGTTTACCTACTGCTGACCAAGCATAGGTCCTTGGGGAATTATTTGCCCTGTGTGGCCTCTTCCTCCTCACCCGTCATGGACAGTAACACCTATGCCTTGACATGGTTATGAGGCAAAAACGAGGAAATGTCCTCTATCGACATCAGTTTTGTGAAGGGCTTCTGTAGACTTGGGATTTCCTCCTGCAGATGGTCTCAATGCCAGCAACACTTAAAAAATGCTAGATGTCTGTTGAGAGATTTGGAATCCTAAAATTAAAAAAAAAATAAAATTAATTAGTGCTGATAAAGTGCTGCTGCCAAGCCTGGGACCTGAGTTTGGTCCCTGGAGCCAACCTAGTAGAGATAACCAGTTTTCACTTTTGAAAGTTGCATGTGACCATCACATACACCATGGCATGGGCACACACGCATACACCCACACAGAGTCACATCAAGTCAGTAAACAAACAAATGAAAAGTAAAATAAAGTAATTATTTGTGTATTTAATTTGACTCAGAGCTTTTTAGACACGAAAAATTATAACACATGGTAATTCTTGAACATTCAAACAATGTGAAAGCCTTTTAGAAAAGGTAAAATATTAAAAATCTTCCCTCAGAGAAAGCATATTGACAGTTGGAGCATCCTTCCGGATAGCTCCAAGTCTGCATGCATGGGAAACCAAGCATAATGTAGCATGCCTCGTGGGCCTGGGACTCCCTGCATTTATCGGGAAAGTGCTTCCAATGTCTGTGAGAATAGACATGATGATCTGTGTCATCATGAGAAGCCGGGCCTAGCATCACTCAGGTCGAATGTGTCAGTCACTCTTTGCAACCGGGGACTTTGGTCCTCAGGGATACTTGGCAAGACCTGAAGACATTGTAATTATCTGAGGTAGGGTGGATGCTATTGGTTTTAGTTATTAGAGGTCAATGATGCTACCAAATATCTTGTACCTCACAGAACAGCCACACACACAACCAAAAGATATTCTGGTCCAAATATCAGTGCCGCCAAAGAGTGAAAAGGTTGTCGTAGAGTGTTTTATTTCTAGGAAATAATAAATATAACTTTAAGTGGGTCAGTCATCTAGGTGTTCTAACTGACATGCTGTTAAGTTTCTAATATCTGCACCGGCTTCCTTTTTTTTAATTAAAAAATTGTGTGTTTATGTGCATGCACGCAAGTGTGCACACATATGCACGAGTGTGCTTGTACATGTAAAGACCAGAGTTCAACTTCTAATGTTGGTCCTCAGAGGCTATATACCTTGTGTGGTTTGTGTGGTTTGTGTGCTTGTTTGTTTGGTTTGGGGGTTTTTTGTTTTGTTTTGTTTTGTTTTGTTTTGTTTTGTTTTGTTTTTGGCTGGGTCTTTCTTGGCTTGGTGCTCTCTGGCTGGATTACACTGATCTGCCTGCAAGCTCCCAGAATCTGCCTGCTTGCATCTGGCTCTGCCTCCATGTTGCCGGCCTCATAAGCAGCGCCCCATGCACAGCCTTCTCACCCTGCTTCTGGGCATTGAACTCAGGTCCTGAAGCTTGCAAATGCTTGGCTGACAGATCCATCTCTCTGGTTTAAACTCATTTTTAGCTGGTACCTGAAAAAAAAATGGCACACATTAGCAGGGTGTCATGTGGTGTTCCATGTATGGATTTTGTAATGTCTAAATCAGATTAAGTTTATTTGCCTCCTCACACATTTCTCATTTCTTTGTGATAAAAACATGTAAAACTCTTTCTTCTAGTTTTTTAAAAGATAGATAGATAGATAGATAGATAGATAGATAGATCTGTTGACTTAGGTTGATTGGAAAAAAGCAACAGGATTATAAAATTTATTTATAAATACACAATTTATATTGGAAGACATTTAAAACTACCAGTTCAAGAAGTATTTGGTGCACTATTAGTTGCTACTAATAATTAACTTCATATATGTGAATTGTCTATATAGCTTAAAACAGTAGACATAATTTAATTTTGTTTTGTGACTCTTGGTTCAGTCACTAGTCTGTAAATATGCCCCTTTTCCAATCGCTAATCCTTAGGAGTCCAGAAAAGCTAAAGAGGGCTCAGATCACAAAGCCTGTTCCCTCTTGTGGTGAATTCTTCTGTAACATGCTAAGGAGACACTTAGCAGCCAGTTAGTTCTGGGCTGTCTGACGTCATGTCTGTGTGGCGACTTCATAAATTTGTGTGAACTCCACTACTGGCAAAGTGAAGGCAAAACTGTATCCACTTAAAAGCCTTCACCATGTCCGTCTTCAGGGAGTGTGTGTGTGTGTGTGTGTGTGTGCATTGTTTACTGCCTCACACATGCAAGAGTGATCCTTCAGTTCATGTTGTGTGCTTATAAAACGTTACTCCTAAGAATAACCTAACATCTTTATTAGAAGCTCTAGAAGGCTTTCCATGCATGACCTCACTTGACAATTGTAACAAGTACACATCGACTCATTTTATAGGCAGAGTATTTTGATTTTTATCAAGTATGAAATAATAATTAGCATTGAATTTGGTCTCTTCATCATACTGAGATTTGCACACTACTTAGAAACAGTCACTTCCTACCATTGGAGTTGTGTTTTATGGCATTACCTTGAACCTGGATTAATGAATAGGAATTGCTATCTATCCCAAGGGGCATTCGGTTTACTTCCTATAGGCCTGTGGTCACACACGATACATTGCCAATTGATCAACACAGGTGATTCACAGCTCTGTTATGAAGATTATATCTATATTGTAAACTGTATCACATACTATTAATGCTACAAAGGCTGTCTTATATTATTGTAGTTATATTATGTTCTCCTAAACACCACCTCATATTGAATATTCTTTGAGTATTCTTTTAAAGACTACCAAGTATGTTGCTTTCTAAATTGTGCCATATTATTTTCATAAATCTAAAAAAAAACTTGTACAAATAGTTTTTACTATTGTAATTTTGATCACTAATAAGCATGTGTGTTTTTTTCACGGCTTTAGAGGTATATGGGGTCATTTGTTCAAAGGTTAAGTAGTTGAGTAACTCCATTTTAAAGCTGGATCTAGACTGTACGTTGTGGCGCTGTAACTAAATTTGTGAGGCTGGGAGCTGTAGAGAAGGTAAGAGGCTTATTTAGCCACAGTTTGGAAGCTCATAAGCAAGGTGCCAGCCACAGCTTCTGGTAGGTGTCCCACGGTGGAGAGCATTGCATGGGCTTATGTGCACAGATGGTGAGTGGTGAGAAACCTCACACAGGAGGAGAGGAAGCAGGAGAGTAAGGAGAGACCAGGCCAATTCCTTTCCCCATCTGTTTCTGGAGGAACTAGTCTGTTCCTAGTAGACTAGCCCATTGCCAAAGACCAGCGCCCACTCCTTCATGTGGGTGGCCATGGGGTCATGACCATCCACAGGGCCCCACCTCTTAAAGGCCCCAGTGCCCTTCAAACTACACTCATGATGATTATACATAAAGTCACTAATCTTAGTTGCATCATACTTCCTAATCAGTTCCTACTTTTCCTTTGTTCCTTGTATTTTATTATAAGCTAAGAAATGCTTGGTAGGCAGTACTTCAAAGTTAAAAAAAAATTACACATGGGATGTTCTTGAATCAGCAAGCCATTTCAAACTGGGTGTGGAGATTTAAGTCTCCTGATTCTAGACCTGAGGTCTAGCTTTAGTGATCATTTGACGCAATGCTTTCTGGGTAGGTTGATTATTAATCATCCTGAGTAGAATCCATTCAGCCAATATTTAATGAGTGTTGAAAGGACCTAAATTTTGTGTGTGTGCATGAATTTATGCATGTGTTAGTGCAGATGCACACAGAATCCAGAAGAACATGTCGGATCCCACTGAAATGAGTTACAGGTATCCGTGAGCCTCTAGTGAGTGCCAGGAACTGAATTCTGATCCTCTGCAAGAGCAGAAAATGCTCTCGGCTGCTGAGTCACCTCTCTAGCCAGGATGTGCTTTTTCTTTGACCATACAGGATTCAAAAGTGACTTAGGGGATTGAGGGTGTGGCTCAGCCACGGAACACATGCGTAGCATGTGTAAGGCCCAAGGTTCCGCCTCCAGATCAGCAACAACAAAAGCCCAGTAGAGCATAAGGGATGACTGGACTGCCCTCCAAGCATTTCCTGTGTCATGTAGAGCACAGATGCACACCAACCTGATGTGTACCACTAAGGACATCCCGGCCAGAATGCAAGCTCCGTGAGGATGTGTTCCCCAAACCCCCAATGCTCACTCATGCGGTTTCCCAGCAAATGTTTATGAGTAGATTAATGTGTTAATCAGAAAGAAGATGACAATGCCCCTCCCTTCCTTAGATGTCTGCATTCCGGTTGGTCCTTGCAGCAGTGTTAGGACGGAGGTAGCATGTGCCTTCTGCATATGGGAAAGTTGAGGCTCAGAGAGCTTATGTGTTTGCTTAATGCCAAACAACTGGGAGTTGGTGGAATAGACCTGGGGGCTCTTGAGATACACTTCTGGGGAAGAGACGCTGCCTACCTGATGGAATTTTTTTGATGATTTTTTTTATTATTGTCATGTTTTACAACCCTACCAGTTTCCCCTCCCTCCCTTCCTCCTAGACCCTCCCTTCTGCTCTTCCCCCACCATCCACTCCTCTTCAGTTTCTCTTCAGAAAAGGCAGCCGCCCATGAATATCAACCAAACATGGTATATCAAGCTGAAGTGAGGCACTGTAGTTGGACTTCCTGTCAGACTTTCTTTGGAGCTGCTAGTCCCCAAATGATGACATGGAGACTTACTATTAATTGTGAAACCTTGGCCTTTAGCATAGGCTTGTTCCCAGCTAGCTCCTATAACTTAAATTAACCTGTTTCTATTCATCTACATCTGCCACGTGGCTTTTTAATCTCCCATCCATTCTGTACATCCACCTTGCTCCGAGTCTCCCTGACATTTGCCCAGATTTCATCCCGAATTCCTCTCTCTGCCCAGAAGTCCCGCCTAACCTCCCCTGCTTAGCTGTTGGTCATTCACCTCTTTGTTAAACTAATCAGGTGCCGTAGGCAGACAAGGCAAAACAGCAACATATTTTTACAGAGCTTGCTTAAATATCCCGCAACAAGGCATGTATGTCCCTCTTATAAAAATTAGACAAGACAACCCAGTATGAGGAGTAGGGTCCCAAAAGCCAGTAAAAGAGACAGAGATAGCCCTGCTCCCATGGTTCAAAGTCCCATAAGAAGACCAAAATACAGAACTGTAACAGAGTTATGCCGAGCACTGGGAATCCTGCAGAAGAGGGGGCGGGGAGGATTATAGGAGCCAGGGGGGTCAATGACATCACAGGAAAACCCACAGAATCAACTAACCTGGACTCATAGGGGCCCATAGAGGTTGAACTGCCAACCAGAGAGCCTGCATGGGACTGACGTGTTGGAACTTACATCCTACATAGACATTTTAGCTGGAGAATTGTGTTTGAGGTGCTTCTTTATTCTTAACCTGCCTCACGTCCATAGAAGCCCATGGAAGAGCTGCAAGGCTGAGAAGTTTTGAAGTGGGCTCTTTGAAAGTAACCCACGGTTCACTACCCAAGGCAGCCCTGATCCAGCAATTGCTAAAGAAAGAGAATGAAAAATTGAGCCAGTTCTCCAGCAGTGCCCCAAGGTTAACTGTCTCTCGCTCTTTGTTCAAGGGTGCCTGTGAGATGCTGATGAGTGCAATTTTGAAAGAACTTCAGAAGAGAACTCAAGCCTCTCCTGAGCCAGCCTCACTAGGAAAGGACTCCCATCATCTTCCCGACCCCCAGCGCTCTGGAAGGGCTGGACTTGTTATCACTGGGAAGACCCTGGAGTTTGCCCTGCAGGAGAGTGTGCAAAGGCAGTTCCTGGAGCTGACCTCACGGTGCCAAGCTGTGGTCTGCTGCCGAGCCACACCCCTTCAAAAGAGTGAGGTGGTGAAACTTGTTCGTAACCATCTTCACGTGATGACCCTGGCCATTGGTGAGTGGAGGTGGGAGGGTGGACACCCTACCCGGCATTCTCCGTTGTGTGACTCCAGGGGCTGATCTTTTGCCTGTCCTTCCTTCTGTCTAACATTATAGTTCTGTATTTCCTCTTCTTGCTGCACTTTGCTCCCCTCCGCTTCTATCTATACCACTTCCCTCCCTTCCTGCCTCTGTGATCACCTGCTGTGAACATGACGTTAGGGACGCAACTCATAGAACAGTATGATAATATTCTTTGGGTTATGTCTTAGACCCCAAATCAATTTAGTTACCTAGAATTAAATACCGAATCAGGAACTGAAAACTTTAGGATTTCTACCTTGAGGAAAGTTAAGGTATACAAAAACAATAAAGTATCCATTCAATGGGTGTTTTCAAGTGGCATAATCGTATCAGGATTCCCCCATCCCAGACAACAGCTATAAAGCAGTATCTGTACCTGGTACCTTTTGTATAGAGCTTACATCTAGTAGGAGGGTACATGGTAGCACAAATGAATAAGCCAGTGAATGTGGAAAATATCAGTTAACTACTGCTATTTTTTAAAAAAAAAAAAAAAAAAAGGAAAAGATTTGCCACTTTTAAGTTCAGTTCCTAGAGTAGAACTGGCTGCTTGGGCTGTCCATGAGTGAAGACATAAAGGAAATGGCAGAGATCAAGGACACTGGAGCTCAGGGGTAAGCATTGCTGGCAGACAGCACAGCAAAGGAAAAACCAAAAGACGCTGTGTGCACTCAAGGCCAAAGCAGAATGAGAGTCTTTTCTGCAGCTGACTGACGGACAGAGAGGTGGGTGTGGCCAGGTCTCATAGGGTCTGAAAGGCCATTATAAAATTTTGGCTTTGGTCTGAAAAAGGGAGTGAGGGAGCCAGTGGAAAATGTTGGTCTGAGTGAGATCTGCCTTCTATTTAGAAGGATCACTTTGTCCTCTGCGTGAGAGTAAACATGCCACAAGAACATAAATAAGGAAAATATTTGGGAGGTTGTTAAAATAATTCAGACAAGAGACGGTGGTGGCTTGGACCCAGCTAGCAACAGAAGAGGAGGAGGTGGGCCAAGGCCAGACAATAGGCATGCTTTGAAGAAAGGGCCGCTGATATCTGCTGATGAATTGGATATGTGCCATGACAGGAAGAGTTGTCCAGGGCACTGCCAGTGTCTTGAGGGGTGGGGTCTGACATGTGCTGATTGGGAGCAGGGCTTGAGAGGTGGGGTCATAAGCTTGCTTAGCTTGCAAAAAAAAGTCTTTCAGATGCCTTCATAGTCATGTCAAGTGTCCAACTGGAATAAAAATCTGCAGCTTAGCAAGGTGGAATCAATCAAACATAAACATTAGTGAATTGTAGGTCCAGTGCGTGCTGAGGGTTTCACGGTCTAAGACCATCAAACAGTGAGCATCCGTGGGGAGAAAAGCATGCCGTGCAGTTCTGATACACGTGTTTAGATGGGATGCGGTGAAGTTTCCTCCAACCCTTCTGTTGCTTAGACGTGGAAATGAACGAATGATTCAGATCCCTGGATTCAGATGGAGCGAAACCCTTGGCCTTTGTATTAATTAAATCATGGGCCCATCTATACCAATCACTGGAGGCAGGAAAGACAAGATGTTGACTTCCAGGCCTCAGCCAGTTTCCTATCCATAAATTCACCCTAACAAAACCACATGGGCTCAGAGTCAGCAGCCGTTTTGGGACAGTGCATGCTCCTTACCTGAAGGGGCTTCTAGTGCTGTGGTAGGAACAGTGACTCTGGACACCACTGTAAAACCATGCGCTAGAGAGGATGGGGCCCACAGGGTGGCTCTGGAGCCTAGTGGGGCACCTGACATAAAGGGGACATGAGATTTCCTAGAGAAAAAGACATGTAAACTAAGCCTGGGTAAATGATATTCAGCAAGGTAGGAGGGCCAAGGACAGTGTTAAAGAAGCAGAGAAATGGCTTGTGTAGGAACCAGAAAGAGCAGGGTGTCTGGAGAATTGGAAGTAGTGTGATGATACGCAAAGGGGAAGGGTCAGCCTGAGACGGTCTCACAGTGTCCTGGATAGTGTATCGTCAATTGGCACAAGTTAGACTCATTTGGGAAGAGGATTCTCAGTTGAGAGAGTGTGTCCCTGATATTTGTCTGCAGGCAAGCCGTGTAGGGCATTTTCCTAACTAGTGATTGCTTTGGGAGGGCCCAGCCCATTGTGCATGGTGCCACCCCTGGAAAAGGAGTCCCAGGGTGGATAAGAATGCAGGTCAAGCAAGCTAGGAAGAGGAAGCTGATAAGCAGCATCCACCATGGCTTCTGCATCAGTTCCTGCCTCGAGTTCCAGCTCTGATTTCCCTCAGTCATGAATTATGATTTCTGAGGTGAAGTAAGTCCTTTCCTCCCCCAGTTTCTCTTTTGGTCATGGCATTTTATCACAGTAATAGAATCCTAAGATACACAACATGAAGGATTTGAAGACAGTATTGAGTCTGGAAATTTTCCTAATGGTAGTGAGATGCTACATTTAATTCTGCTTCACTGGTTTCCCTGTAACTCTGGAAAATGGGATGCACCCCAAAGGACCAATTTCTTCACTTGAATAGCCACGGAATTTGCAGTTCACACCTCACACGTGTCTCATGTTTCCTTCTGCCTCGTGAAGGTGATGGTGCCAATGATGTTAGCATGATACAAGTGGCCGACATCGGGATAGGCGTCTCAGGTCAAGAAGGCATGCAGGTGAGTCCATAACCCAGCTACCATGTCCAACTGCCTACTAAGGGGACTTCTCTGATAAAATTGTGGTGGTACAGTGGGGCTTTGGGGTAAGGAGTGAGAGAGGCTGGACCTTCATCTGTTCCACGATTGGTCACTTGTGAATAATATGTGGTCCTGGCCAGTTTCTGCTGTGTTTCTGTGTTCTGTTTTTTAAAAGCTTGTGCACATCAAAGGATTTCACTTTGTAGGCATGTGACAGGTTTGTTAACTTCTCATTGGAAAAAAAATCTACTACTATTTGAATACATAACATGTAAACTCTAGTGGATGGGGAGGGAAGGGAAAGGAAAGGAGACATGAAAGAATGAGAAGGAGGAAGATGTGGCTGTGTCTGCTGTCTGTCTGTATGTGTGTATATGTACATGTGTGTAGGTATGTGTGTATGTATATATGTGCATATGTGTGTATGCGTGAATGTATGTGTGTATGTATGTGTATGTGTACACGTGCATATGTGTATATGTATGTGCATATATGTGTGTATGTGTATATATGTATGTGTGAATGTATATGTGTATCTATATGTGTGTATGTATGTGTCTATATGTATGCATGTACATAAGTGTTTGTATATGTATGAATGTATGTGTATGTATATATGTGTATTTATATGTATGTGTGTATGTATGTGTATATAACGTGTATATGTGTATATGTATGTGGATGTGTATGTATGTATGTATGTGTGTATTATTCATGTATGTATTTGTGTATATCTGTGTGTAAATGTGTGGGTTGTATGTGTATATGTGTGTGGGGTGTGTGTATGTATGTATGTATGTATATATGCATGTGTATATGTATAGTCTCTCTTTTTGGATCTACTGGGAGTTAAGTTAATTGATTTGGGTTTACTGATTGTCAGGCTATACTGCTAGGCTGTGTGTGTTCTAGCATGTTCAGTTGCTCAGGATAGTCTTCTCTCCCTGTTTGCAGGCTGTGATGGCCAGTGACTTTGCCATCTCTCAGTTCAGACATCTCAGCAAGCTCCTTCTTGTGCATGGGCACTGGTGTTACACACGACTCTCCAACATGATTCTCTATTTTTTCTACAAGAATGTGGTATGTACCTGCTGAGAACTCGCTGCCCCCTCTCCACTCCAACCACTCCTGGTGGCCTCAGGGATGACTGCTTGTGTTCATTAGTGCTGGAGAACAGCCGGAAGCCGTTCTCATGTCCTTCCAGAGATAATCTGGGAATGTGTGCTTGCACTGTTGGCTACAAATTGCTAGGCCTGTCCATCTGCCAGCACACTCTGGCCCTGTGTATTCCATTAAGTCCTGACTGGTTCATTTAAATCCAATTTTTGACCTTCTATAGAAAGATAGTGACAAGCAGGATTATGAAATGTTTCAAGTTGTCAGTAGAAAATGAAAAGGTTTGCTTCCATGGTACTGGGGATGGCAAATAAGCAAATTGATGAGTAGATAAATAAATCCGCTGCTCCTAAGTAACAGTTCCTGTCCTCTGTCAAGGAGGGATAGAGATGAAAACCCAAGGGTTTTTCTACCCCGCCCATAAAGTCTACTTATGCTTTGCAGATCTATTGTGATGTTGGAACTTTAGTGTGATTTTTGTTTGGAATAATCAGAAATTGCTTGGAAATCCTCATATCTAATCTTATTTCATTTAAATTAAACATACCTGTCTTCCTTCCTCCTTTCCTTTCCCCTCCCTCTCTCCCTCCTTCCTTTCTTATTTTTCTTTTACTTTATAAATTTTGTGAGGCGGTCTCTAGTAAAGTCCTGGATGTCCTTGTATTTACTGTGTGGTTCAGGTTCGCCTCAAATCTGTAATCTCCTCCTACTTCAGCATCCTAAGTTGCATTATAAACATAGAGCAAAATAGTGGACTTCGGTTTTCTTTCTTACACACTCACACTTAGGTTCATCTTCTTCCAGGTGGACCATGTAACGACATCATGGTCTTTAGGCGACCCTTGTTCTTGGTCTTTAAAAGCACAGCATGTTAGTAGGGGACATACATTGGATCCCATGCTTTGGGAACCTGTCAGTCTCAAGATAACTGGATGTTAGCCACCCTTCTGGCACCATTCCACTTAGCTGCTATGAAATAAGTGGGCAGGGAGGTGGGAAGACAAATGTGTGCATACCTTCTCTGAGCTGATCCAGGTACTCGCCTTTGTTCCATTTATCTAGAGCGAAAACCGCCACTTATATGTTGGAGGAGAGAGACACTTGTTGGTTCCCAGCTACCTGGCTAGCTTAGGCCTGAAATAATCACACAGAAACCGTATTATTTAAATCACTACTTGGCCCATCAGCTCTTGCTTCTTATTGACTAACTCTTACATATTAATTTAATCCATCTCCATTAATCTGTGTATCGCCACATAGCAGTGGCTTACCAGCAAGGTTTCGGCATGTCTGACTCTGGTAGCAGCTCCATGACTTCTCTCTGACTCTGCCCTTCTTCCTCCCTGCATTCAGTCCAGTTTTCCTCACCTACCTAAGTTCTGCCCTTAAATAAATAAATAAATAAAGGCCAAGGCAGTTTTTTTATTCATTAACCAATAAAACCAACACATAAACAGAAGGACCTCCCACACCACTTATATGGTGCCATATATGTAGGTGGGTAACTTTTTGCAAATTTCTTACTCTCGTTGGGTCTCAATGGCTTAGTTTATTCAGCCTGTAATAATGAAGCATCACAATAATAGAAATGGAAATTTTCAGCAGGCTAGGGGCCAGAGGTCTGAAATCAGGAAGTGGGTGTGGTTGGGCTTTGGTAATGGTCTTTTCTGGCTACACCCTCTCTGGGGAGAGGAAAGTCTTCAGAGTGCATTTTATGTGATTGCTGATCCCATTCACACAGGCTCTGCCATGATGACCTAATGACTTCACCGTCTGACCTCCCTCCCCTCTGAACATTGTCACACTGGAGACTAAGATTTGCATACATGTACTTTGAGGGTACAGAAGCGTTTAGTTCATCATCTTAAAATGGGAACAACAGAATTCCCTAGTCGTTATGAAGATTAAATGAATTCTTTTTAAATTATTTAGAATAGTACCGGTACCATGTAATACTGGTATGAGGATGTGTATAATATTGCTAAAATACTCACTAAAAAGAAAACAGAATTAAAGACCACCATGGCAAGTTGTGTTCTTCATCTGTGGCTGACAAATCTGAATGGTGTTTGAAGGCCCAGGACTCAGATGTGCAGTGTGGGAGGTCTTCAGAGTGTGTGTGCCCTGATATCTCTAAGCTCTGAATGTCTTTCTTTGTGTCCCCAGGCCTATGTGAACCTCCTTTTCTGGTACCAATTCTTCTGTGGGTTTTCAGGAACATCTATGACAGACTATTGGGTTCTGATCTTCTTCAACCTGCTCTTCACCTCTGTCCCCCCCATCATATATGGCGTGTTGGAGAAAGACGTATCCGCGGAGACCCTCCTGCAGCTGCCGGAACTTTACCAGAGCGGTCAGCGGTCAGAGGTAAGTGCTCAACAGAAATCTGTCAGCAGATGCAATGCCTGCTGAAAGCCAGAGTGACTCCACTCAGCTGGGCCCACACATTATGGGATAGTCAGGACAGTTGTTTAACATGCCTGGTTGCTTCCAATGCTCTATACCAGTGGTTCTCAGACTTCCTAATGCCCTTTTATATGGTTCCTCATGTTGTATTAACACCCCCAACCATAAAATTATTCCATCATTACTTGATAAATATAATTTTGTTACTGTTATGAATTGTACTGTGATATCTGATATACAGCCCCCCAAAAGAATCGCAGCCCCACAGGTTGAGAACCATTGCTCTATTCTCACATGGCAGATGTGAAGTCAGTGGTATCAATTCAAATCTTAAAAAGTTCTAATGTATTTATCAGATGAAATTCAGACTTCGTGACCTTTCTGATGGCAGCTGACATTTGTTAAGCCCACTACACAACCTGTTACAGTACCCAGCAAACATGTCCTGCCTCATGCATCTCCACACAGATGCTTTTTGAGAAAGAATATAGTGTTTTTCCCATTCCAGATCGAGGAATCTGAACCTTAAATGTATTAAGTAACTTCCCCCAGACTTGCAGAGTTAATGAATGCTTGAACCAGGATGTGAAACCAGCTCAGTCTGGTTCTCAAGCCCAAGTTAATTCCTCAGTGGCTGGCGTCTCACAGGACAGAAGTGATCTCCACCCCACTGATCTCTGGATTCTGGCTCAGCACTGGCTTCTCGCCTGCTTCCCTGCTTCTGTTGCTCCCTTATCGTCCCTTCCCTGGAGGATTGCGGGTGGTCGGCAGGGTAGCCTACAACTAGGGTGGCTGTCTAAATATTCTTGTTCCTGATTCATTGTTCGCAAGATTAATAATGGCCAACATGGATGTAACAGGAAACTTATAGCATGGCAGACCCTGTTCTAAGTGCTTCACCTGATCTGATCCTCCAAATATCCCACAAGGCAGGTCTGCCATTTTCTCTTCTTTGTAGGAGGCACAAATCAAGCACAAGGAGTAGCCCTAAGCAGCCTGTTCTTGGTGCTGAGCTAGTGAGTGTTGCAGTTTAGTCTCGACATCCAGGCCCAAGGTGTGCCTTTGTGCTGTGTGGCAGGAAGGACTCTGATGGTCCCTTTAGTCCTTGGGCTTCCCTTGTGGTGCTTAGGTCAGATGTAAAGTATTGCTGTAAACACATTCATTGTGAGGCTCCTGACAGAGGAGGGCAAGGAGCCACACCTGTGTGTGGGCAAGGCTGAGCAGCCCCAAGTGTCACGTGTTCCAGTACTAAGAATGCTGACTGCCAGAGTCCTCACATTAGTAATGGATAAAGAAAAAAAAAGGAAGGAAGAAGAGGGGAAGGGGTAAAGAAAAAAGAGGGAAAAAAAGAGAAAAGAAATGGCCCAGGCTAACCTGATGTAAAAGAGAAATGTATTAACACACACAGCTGCAAAATCCAGGGCAGTGGGATCAGCGTATTTTCCTCTAAGCAATTATAAATGTCTACCTTTGGTGTTTTAGCTTGTTGTTCACCGTCTCTGGTACTCATCACCAAAGCTAGAAATGTCTTCTTCTTGCCCAGTCCTGGGGCGTGTGTCATTCCCAGGGACGTAGCTGAAGCAGATGGGCGGGTGGGAAGGTTCTCTATGGAAACACTGGACAGAGCAGAGTGAGATTAGCCGTCAGAAATCTGTGTGCTGGTCCTACCGTGAAGACATTAACACAGATCAGTGTGGGTAGGGAATAATGAAGTGTTTGCATTCTGATTCTCAGGCTGTGTGACCTTGTTTTACTTTGTTTACCTGGTTCAGTTTGTTTACCTTCTGGAAAAGATGTAGGACTAAAGAGATAACACATATAGCGTTTCCAGCTGCATTAAGAACTCCATCTTGTTCTTGGGAGAACTGAGCTCAGTGCTTCCAGCCCTTGAATCCTGCGGTCATTTCTTTGTTCTGTTAAGCTAACCAGTCTGATAAAGCACAATCTCATGGGCAGAGTCCCAGTATAGACACATGAGGAAAAGGTGGTTCCACACAAAACAAGAGTCAACACTAGAAACCGCAGGAGAGAGAGCGTGTGGCATTTGTCCTTCTGAGCCTGAGTGGCCTCTCTGACTATAATTTTTGAAGTCCCATCCATTTGCCTGCAAATGTTACGATTTTTCTCTAGTTGTTATTGTTACATATATACATATATGCACACATACATGTATGCATTTATATGTCTTACCCAAGTCCGAATGGCTAAGAGCAACAAAACAGTTGACAGCGGATGTCGGAGAGGGTTCGAGGAAAAAGGGAACCTTCAGTCACTGTTTATGGGAATGAAAACTGCTCCAGCCACTCTGGAAATCATTGTGAAAAACCCTCAAAAAGCTAAAAATAAAGTTAGATTTTTTTAAAAAATGTATCAAGTAAGTTAAATAAGAGTTCCTGTGGTTTGACTTTTCCTGCCACATTCAGCAGCAAACATGACTTAGCTCGCTGCCTGCATTCTTCTACCATGCACTATGAAATGAGACCGAAGGACCAGCAGATTATTGTTTTGCTCTGATCCTTGTTAATTTTGCTTCCTCTCCAACATGTGTTTCATTTCCAGGCATACGTACCTCTCACGTTCTGGATCACCTTGCTGGATGCCTTCTATCAAAGTCTGGTCTGCTTTTTTGTGCCTTACTTTGTAAGTCTTTGTCTGTGTATTTGCCATTCATGAATTAATGGTGTTTCTGCGTACATTGCTTTCCATCGACTGTTAGCTAACTGATATATGTAACCTCTCATAGTATGTTAGGTAATGGGTTCAATTATGTACCTACTTGATTTCTCTTGGGTCTCTTATTAACACTCAGCTGTCTACTAAGTTTCGGCAGTGGCTTAAATAAAATTTAAATTCTGTCCATATAAATAAAGTAGCCAAAAAAAATCATTGAGCAATATCAGAAAAAGAAGCGCTTCTATTCAGTGAGCATTGGGCTAATTCTATGAAGCTAAGACTCAGAATATTAAATTTAAGTACCTTTAAGGAATATCTTCAGGACTTAATAAAAACCACCTTTTACAGATAAGTTAAGAAGGAACGAACCAAGCAAAGAATATGTAAAAGATCATCTTAAAAGTTTAGACTGGCACCAAGTGCAGGAGAGCCGGTGCAGCTGTCTGCGCCTTGTTCCTTCCAGAAAGAAGCACGTTGTGATGACAGAGTGTGTCGACAGAGTACGGCACTGAGAGTAAAAACAGTGATTCTCACTAGCTTGACAGTTCTGTGCCCTGTTCAGATGAAGTCACGTGAATTAGCTTGCTTGCATATTTTCGCTATATTGCTCTATAAGAGAATTTAGACAAAGCAGCTAAAAGTACCTTTAGAAAAAGATACTGAGAGAACAGAGAACTGGATCATTTGAGAACCAGAATACGGACTTGAAGAAGCATCAGTGAGAGGGACGGAATATTTACCTAGAAGTATCAGTGTAGGGTAGTTACAACTGCTGCTTCCGTGGTTTCCTAAGTGGAACATATTCGATGCATTTGTGTGCCTTTCGGAGCTGAAAGCATGAACAAAAGCTTCCAGAAAGATCAATGGTGATTCTGAATGAAGAGGAATGTCCCACCTAAAAGTTAAATGTACACAGAGAGCATATGCGGAAGAGTCCGTCTCTTTTCTGAGAATGTTCGTTTTTCCTAAGTGGCCAGTCGGTTAACTGAACTACTTGTAGAGACTGCGCAGGCCACATCTGAGCTGTCGATACAATGGTGTCACGCACCAAGAGTGTACAGCCCTCACACTCACCCCCTGCTGTCCTCTCCGTGTAGACCTATCGGGGCTCTGACATTGACATCTTTACGTTTGGGAATCCCCTGAACACATCAGCTCTGTTCATCATTCTCCTCCATCTGGTGATTGAAAGCAAGAGTTTGGTGAGTGCTTCCCTTCTACCTGGGAGTGGGGGCGGTGTTCTGTTAGCAGTGGGCCTGCCAAGCCCTCTGTGGCTGTAAGCTCAGGTCTGCTAAGAGTCATGGCCCTGTAGAAAAATGGTCATTCTGTGTAAAGTTGAGGGTCACTGGGTCCCCTGATGCTGAGTGCAGGAAAAGTGAAAAGCCCCTGTGTGCGTCTTTGTTTCTGTCACTGGTAAGGACTTCATAGACCTGAGTCAGGGGGCAGGAAACACCAGCTGTGCATAGTAGGCTTTTAGACGAAGCTGATGCCTTTGCATTAGAGTCATTGACCTTCTGTGCCCTACCTCATTTGCTGGCTCCACCTTCTCCCTTTCTCCGCTTCCCAGATGCATTGAGTTCATTATCACATCGGAACCTTGCTACTTACTGTTGTCTATTAGTAGAGATACTTCTTAGATTTCCCTTGTATTCATGAATCTTTACCAACTTCAGAATATTCCTTTAGATCATCGTGTGCATTGATCTAAAGAGATCTTCGTGACTCAGAGAAAGTGTTCAAAAAACCAACATGGGTGAGTAGCTAGGCACCTGACCACCTTGGGAGTTTATTTATCCTCAAGGTAAATGGATTTCAAACAGGAACTCGCTGAATGAAGCTATGGTTCAAGATATACAATGCTATATTATCAAATTATTTTTAACAAGTTATAAAGTAGGACCAAATATTTATTTTTGGCATCATTTGCTTTGCTTATGTGTAATGATCTATAACTAAATCCTAAGCCCCAAATGTAATAAAATGTTAGTGTATGCAAATACCATTTCAGCCAAACCAAATTAAAAAACTATAATGTTTGGTCTCATCTGGGCATCTACTTAACTTTTAAACCATTGTTAGAGATACTTTTGGTTCTCTGAAAAGACATGCCACAGGCTCTAACATCTGTGTGTTCCAGAGGAACTGACACGTTAGGTATGCCAGTTGGGGTTCCCTGGTTGGAAGAAATAGCAGTCCATTCTGGATAACATAAGCACGTAGAAATGTTCTGAAAATTATATTGAGGAACCATGGTCCAACAAACAAAATCTCAAGGAGTCAGCGGAGGGCCAGAGAGCAGAAACGAACAGATGCAGTCACCAGGATACACACTGGTCTGAACCCACTGCGTGCATTTTCTTCTTCTCCTGTCCCACTGTGCTACCGTCCTAGCTGCTGGTGCTGGAATCCTGTCTCCCTGGCCTTAGCCACAGGCTTCAGCATGAGAGGAGTGTGTGGCCAGCACTGTGCTCAGTGTTGAGTGTCCTCTCCAAGAAGGGGCATGAAAGCTAAAAACTCAGTAGTGTCTCCACAGGAGTGTTTCTTAGAGAAGCGTCCCTCCTGCCGCAGGATATCCTAGCAGAGGGCATAGATTTTGCAGGGTCTTTTCCAGAAGAGTCAGCCATGTGGAGCTCCTGAAACACATGTCCTTCACATTCTGTCTCACTGTGCTGTGGTCACCTCCCACTTCTTGGGCACTTTTACCCAGTGTTTTCCACGTTCATTTTCTTAGACCAACTCATTTACAAAGGTGGGCTGTGACGTCACGATCTCACTTTCAACAGCACAAAACCAAAGGAAAGAGACTAGAGTAGTGTTCAGATAGAAAGGGGGCATTTCAGCAAGAAAAACATATAAGAAAAGAAGATAGGAAAGGAGGGAGGGAGGGGGAGGGAGGGAGGGAGGGAGGGAGGGAGGGAGGGAGGGAGGAAGGAAGGAAGGAAGGAAGGAAGGAAGGAAGGAAGGAAGGAAGGAAGGAAGGAAGGAAGGAAGGAAGGAAGGAAAGAGTAGTGTGGGAGGGAGGGAAGGACCCATTGTTCTGGGGCATGCCATTTTTAAGCAAGGAGTTAACCAACGCTTTCTGAGCAGTTTCTACATTTTATAAAATATGAACAATCTTTGTGACTCTGTGAAGGCACGTGCTGTGGGGAAATGCTTTGCGTAATTGGAAATGAAATAAGAGTGAGTTGGGTCTTATCTGAAAATCACAGGCCTAGAAAAGAGATTTACAAAGACAGTGTATACACACCAATAGCATACACACTGTGGGGATGGCGTGTACTGCCCAGGTAGCCGGGAAGAAGGCTCAGCGGCTCTTAAAAGTGTCTACCCTGAGAATTCTAAACAGCCCTTCCCATTCATTGGACTTTGTTTCATCCAAAGGGAGTAGAGAGATGCAAGCCACTTGAATGCTGACTAAGGGACAGTAAGAGTATGGCCGAGCAAATGTAGTGCCTACTGTGTGTATGTGAATTACTGAAGTTTGAAGATTACTGAACTAAGGTAATTCTGTAAGCAGATCAATGAGTGACAACTATATAAAAGAAAGAAAGAAAGAAAGAAAGAAAGAAAGAAAGAAAGAAAGAAAAGGAAAGGAAAGGAAATCCAAACACCTCCTTGTGGTGGAGAATATACACCAAACCAGTCAACAGAATGGCCCATTGACACTTAATTTTGTAGAATTCAAACAGTGGCATGAGCCACTCATGAATGATGCCCTTCCCTTTTGCCCTTGGTATCTTGTGTCTTGTGTGGTAAGGTCTGTAAAACTCAGAGTTTATTGTACTGTTTCTTTATTAGAGCAGGTTTTGCTAGGTTGCAGTACGCCACCAGTAAGCATCTCCTTTCCTGGCCCTTCTTGTCTTGCAGACTTGGATCCACATGCTGGTCATGGTTGGGAGCATCTTGTCCTACTTTTTCTTTGCCTTGGCTTTCGGAGCCTTGTGTGTGACTTGTAACCCACCATCCAACCCCTACTGGATTATGCAGAAGCACATGCTGGACCCAGTGTTCTACTTAGTTTGTGCTCTTACAACCTGCGTAGCTCTTCTGCCCAGGTGTGCCATTGGTTTTTTTCCTCAAGAGAATTAAGTACATGGTTTCAGGTAACCACTAAGAATGAATGACAGACCACCTAGCTCAGCAGTAAGGAAATCAGCCGACACGCTAGCTAAATATTGGTTTCAGTTTTACCATAGAACAGGACTAGATTAAGCAAGTGAAGACGTATGTTTCTCTGGCATGGAGAAGTCCAATCTGATTGACAGTTCACAGGAAGAAAGAAACTTTGCCTCACGGGATTATCCAAGAACCGACCATGACCTCTCATTCACTTTGCCATCCCCGGAGCCCTTGCTTTGGTCTGTGTTTTACAGCTATCATAGATGCCTAAACTAGGTAACTCACAAACAGAAATGTACTAACTCAGAGCTCTGGCGGTTGGGAAGTTCCATGTCAAGGTCCTAGCAGGTTTGGCGATTCTTATCCGAGGATGAAATTTTAATGCTTCATCCACGAATGGCAAGGTGGGAGAGCAAACCCCTCATAGCCTTGTCACTGACTAAAGACGCCTCTATTATATTGTTATAGTGAGCATCATCTGTCTCAGGCCACCCAGAAGCTTCCTGTGGGCCAGGGCTATGGATCTGCTAACAGGAGCCATCTTCCTTCGCTTACGTAGAAGGATCTTCTGTGCTTGGAATGCTTTCCCCCACAGAACTCAATTTATTGTCGTTTGTAACAATAGAAGAGGGGGGCCTTTATGCTTATTTGGCAAGCATAGAGAGTTCTTGCTGCTTGCTTTACAAATATTAATTTATTAAATATTTTCAGTTGCTAAGTTTTAAAATCATGGTCTTGCCTAATAGTCCAAGCAGACCTGGAACTCACTGTCAAGCTTAAGCTGGCTTTGAACTCGTGGCTATCCCTCCAATTTAACCTTCCAAGTGTTGGGATTATAGAGGCTCATCCCCCATGCCAGGTTTAAAATTATTTTAATCTCCATTTATAGCTTACTTACGCTATCTCAGAAGCCAAGTGCCTGCCAGACTCTTTTACTTCCTTTTGACTGGTTACTATTTCCGTCGGCTCCCATGATGCAATGGAAGTGAACATAATTCTGTGGTATTTTTTGTAATCTAGGTTTCTATACCGAGTTCTTCAGGGATCCGTGTTTCCATCTCCCATTCTGAGAGCCAAGTGCTTTGACAGACTAGCTCCAGAGGAGAGGGCGGAAGCTCTCAAGAAGTGGGCAGGGACTGCAAAGACCAATCAAGTGGCATCCAAGTATGCCACCCCACCAGCTGCCGAGTCAGGGAGACCTGCGCCTGGTCCTTCTGCTGCCCTTGCCATGAAGCCAGCAACAGCATGTGCCATTGAGCCAGAAAACTTCCCTACATGTGAGACTGTGCTAGATCTTGGCTACTCTGAACCAGGTGCCTCAAAGATGACTGAACCCTCAGCTTGTTAAAAACACAGGATATCCTGCTTAGCGTTGCACGTGATCTTTCAAGTTTTGAAGAATTCAGAAGTGAGGATTGCTTGTGTTTCAGTACAAGGGATATCAACATTTTGTTCAGTGTGGAAAAAACCAACACCATGTCTTGCAGCTGTATACCGGTGTGCACATTTGTAAACAGGGAATCATGTTTGACCTGAGCAGAGTTCAGGGAAGTGGAATATTTAATTCAGGATCATATGTTGTTTTTATGAAACTTTTTAGATTTTGTAAAGGAATTTCAATTGTCTTATAAATGCAATCATTATCAAAGGGAATTCATTTGAAATGTATTTATTTTAGAGGTAAGGCTCATGTATTTGGAAAATGATTGAAGTGAGATCCTACCTGAATTTTAATTTAAGGGGGAAAAAAGTACTTTTAAACCTGGCTCATTATAGCAGGACACTTTAACCAGCCCTTGAGAGGTAGAGGCAGGTCAATCTCTGAGTTCAAGGCCAGCCTGCTCTACAAAGTGAGTTGCAGGATGGCCAAGGCTGTTACACAGAGAAACTCTGTCACAAAAAAAAAAAAAAANAAAAAAAAAAAAAAAAAAAAAAAAAAAAAAAAAAAAAAAAAAAAAAAAAAAAAAAAAAAAAAAAAAAAAAAAACCAAACAAGCAAAAAACCTGCTTTATTAGGAAAACTCATTAATTTAAAGACAAATCCCCATGAACCTTTTGTTTCCTGTGAGAAGCCTTTGGTCCCTGACTAAAGGTGTTTAGTGCACACACACACACACACACACACACACACACACACGGCATGTCTACTCATTTCAGCATTGTGCTGAAGCAGAGCCTTCATAGGGAAGGAAAAGAAGAGGGCCAGTGTTTCCGGCAGCACCGGCTGCCTTCTGCTCTCTTCGCTGTTAAGAGAGGACATAGGAGCGCTCCATATGCAGGTGCTGTCCATCAGGACACAGACAAATAGGTCAGGAAACACAATCAGCTGAGCCTACAGACCGTGAGCAACTTCCCGCGTTCAGAAGCGGATGATACCCACACCAACATGAGACAATCAGCTCCCAAGCAGTCTGCCAGAAACTATCTGAGAGTTCATAGCTGTTACCGCGCCCAACAACTGTCTGCATGTAACCTCCACAGAAGGTGACGTGGGACAAGACTGATACAAGCCGCACTCAGTGGGAATCCCAAAGCTCTCGGAGAAAGTAACATATTTAAGGGTAGAAATGTCTGTAGCACGTTTTTCTGCTGAGACAAATCATGGACACCGGCTTTACTTAGTGCCTCGAGACTAGTTTACACCAGAGTCAATTTGCCACTGCAAATCTGGTTGTTGAAGACTTTCAAAACCTCTGTATCTGTCTGAAAGCTGTCGCCTTTCATGTGGAGTTCCCTCCATGAATCGCTATGCTAAAAGTCAATGTCTAGAGCAAAGTCTTATAAACTGTTATTCTCAGGGCCTAGCGTTGCCTGCCTGTACTGTCCAAGTGACTTTCTGTACCCTCCTGTTATTGTTAAATGGCCTTTTTAAATAGACTCATTTTTGCAACCATGACAATATCACGTGACTACAGGAAGTTGCCTTCTGCTTCCCTAAGATTTTTTAAATAAATTATTTAATAAATAATAGTCATTGAAAGTTGTCGTCATTCCCATAACTCCTCCCTGAATCCAGCTGTAATTGGTGCCAGAGCTGAGAAGGAAAATCCTAAGGCATGCCTTTGCCAGAATGCTTTTTGAACCTCTTTGTTTACGGGGGAAAAAGAATCACTTGATATTAGATCATTCATCATCCCCACAGCAGCTGGAAATCATTCCTTGAGCTCACCACTTCCCAAATAAATATTAAAGAGATGCTCATATGCATATAAAAGGTTTTATTCTAAAGAGTAAAGGAATATGCTAAAAAGGAGTAAGCATAAGGTCATTTCCAAGATGTGAATTCTCTATCTACTCATAGGAATATAGGAAAGTATTGAATGTTTGTGTCATGGGGCTATAATCTTACATCTGTAACTCACAAATCCTCCCAACTTTGTTAATAACTTAGGTGCAAACTCAATGTGTTGGAAAATCTGAACCTACTTATATACCTGATGCAATTATTTGTGTATCTTGCTATGAAAGTATTGATGCATTTAATTACTTGGTGATTAAGTTCTATTTTTTCTTTTATTTAAAAATGTCTGAAAAACACCTGGGCCCCTAGACTAAGGAAATTGAGATCTCTGTAAAGTTTTTAAAAGGTTGAATTAACAAGAGAATAACAATTTTATGCCAGATCAACAAAGTATGTGTGGTGTAGCGTATTTTCATATTTTGAATATTTTACCAGATTTTGAGGAATCCAAGAAAATGAATAATAAATGGTTTGGGATATAATTTTATTATAAAAGGTTTCTAAAGAGTAGGAACACTTGCAAAAATGCGCTGCGGACATTGACAACTCGCGTTCTCTTAGCAGGGTTGATGTTTTCCCGGTACTCCAGGAGCGATGAACACTATTAGTGGATCATAAGCCTACAGGTGAAGCTGCTAATAGTCTAAAAGAGCAGGCTCCTGTGAGAGCCAGCAGACAGCATGCACATTTTGGCTGACAGCAAACCGGGCACCCCGTGCAAGAAGAGAAATAACCCCTTTCCTGGAACTTGGTGTCTATATGCCTCCAGAAAAAAAAATATCATTTTAATTGTATTCAGAGTTATTTAAAATAATTCCAACATGTATATTTTACTGAATATGAGTTCATCAAGGCTAAAAAAGTGTTTCGTTACTTATGTACCAACAATTATAACAAAACTGACCAATGGTCTTAAACCTTCATCCAGTTGTGAACACAGTGCAAATGCTACGCACTCTTCGTAACAAGTTCCAGGACTAGAGAGGAGCAACATGGAAAATAAGGGTTGAGACAACTTTTTGGATTTGAACTATATTGACACATAGAAAAAGAGTACAAAACACACATATAAAATTGCAGGTAGTCCCTGTTTGGAATGCTGAGGCAGTCTGGTTGCTGGTGAAGTTTCGTAGAACGTCCTACTTGTTCAAAAAGGCATTTGCATGTAACATAGTTGATGTCTTGCTAATTAAATTAGGTATTTGTGTTTTTGAAGCTTTTTAGTGGAAAAAATACTTTTACCCACTAATTGCTTCAGAAATTAATTTGTGTATAGTGGCCCAGTGCTTCAAAGCAACTTTAAATTTTTTTGTTTTAATTATCAATGAGGCAAAACGGCAACACCAGATGTTAGACATCATTAGGGGGAAATTGCAAAACGTTTTTTTCCAAGCAACATTTGGCTACACTTTGAAATATGTTGCTGTGACATTTCTGGTTTGGGTGAACATAGGCAGACTAATTTTCAGATTTAATTGTGGGTGGGATACCATTTAATTTTCCTCTTTTTGGGGGGGGGGGGAAGGGGGTGGGGTTTTTTGTTTGTTTGTTTGTTTCTTGTCTCCAAAGTGGAGAAGGTTCTCATTCATTTTCATATAGGCAAAAAAAAAAAAAAAAAGAATTGACCTAGTTGTTGAAATCTCAGTCATCTAACTGATAGATACTGAACATCCCCGGTAATGGGGAAAGTCCTATGGAGATTGTCTATGAAATTACAATCTTAATTTGAATGCAGAAGGGACAGAAATACACTTCTGAGTGTTACTTTTAATGGCTAGAAAATTTTACATTCTGTTTGCCTTGCAACTTCAACTGTCTAGATCAATATTGCGAGTCTTTTCTCTTTCATAATTTCTCCAAATTATTTAGAAGAGTCTGGTAAATAACATAAGCATATACATTATCTTGGCTTTTTATCAGTTAAGAGCCAGTCTCCAAGGTCGGTTCTGAAAGGTGCCCCCTAGACTGCTGTGCTTGAACAGAAACTGAACACACACCAGTGTGTCTCCATCTGTTTGCTATGATAGTACGAAAAGGAACTTCCTATCACTTGTTACCATAGAGCCCCAGATGTCGTCTCTACAGAGCTGATACTTCCACACTACATTCAAGGTTAGCCTAGGGAAAGAACAAAGCCTACTGTGCTCTGTGTTTTGAAAAGAATCCATGAAATTAATGAATGATAAAGCTGGGGGAAAAAAAAGGCTGAGTAAAACAGAGCTGGTGCAAACAAGAGATCTTGCAGGGCACGTTGAGCGCCCCGCCCACGAAAGCCCATCCGTGCAGCTCTTGGCAGGGCACTCTTCATGTCAAGAGGACCGTGCTTGGTGTGGGTTGCTGGCAGACTCTCTGCTCATCCTTGGAATTCCTTCTGGAGAAAGGTCTTGATATATATTTGTCTTTCAATCCATTCAACAAAGTAAGATACATTGCTGTACACTCCAGGCCCCAGGACTTTGGAAAAGCAGACGGAGCCCCACGAAGTTAAACCAAATAATGTCCACTGTCCTCCGGGTCGCTCACAGACCAGAGGCCCACCACTGTCTCCCTGCAAGAGAGAGCAGTTGATGTTAGTCATGGAATTTCAGAGGTCTAGTGGCAGGGTTATCATCTTTAAGGGTACAATAAAGCCCAAACCAGCTTAACCAAGTCGGAAAATTTCAACTGAGATTTTCATCATAAGCCTGGGAGGGTATTTGCTTTCCACCCTATAACAGAACTTTCCAGTAAGTGTGATGGATTCTGAGCTTTAAAGGGATAGAATTAATTTGTAAAGAGATTTTTGTTCTTGTCACAAGATCTGAAGACCCTTAGTTACTTCCTGCATATAACAAAATGTCATAAAAGCCTTGATGTATCAAAACTAATCATCTCAATTTTATTCTTTAAATTGGATTGGTCTTATAAAAGTAGAAATTACCCAAGATGGAAAACCAAAACACACACATACACCCCATAAATCAGTTGCACAAAATGTTCTAAAATGAACCATCACAAATGCCCTTTAATTATGTAATTATTTAATTAATGTCATTAGACAAGCATAGTTTATCTCTCTTTAATCCTAAACTCCGAGGAGCCATCTAATCACTTCAAAGCAATGGAGCAGCAGTGTAAAAACCACTACCTGTTCCTCCCTTGCCAGCTTCTTTGTTGACTTGCCCATTTGACCCCCCAGAGACAGTTTGTCACAATAACTGCTAAATGTTAAGTTAAAGTAAAAACCCTTCCCCACACTGCTAAAAGGCAATGCTTTGCAGATTGCTGTGGCCACACATCCTGCCTGGCCTTGAAGGCAGTGGCATTTGACAGGCTGGTAATCAAATGATGACCATAAGATCTCAAGCAATGCCAGGGTGGTCACATTAGGGACAAGTTGTTTCACACACTGTGGGAGCTCGGGTGCCAATGTATATCCTAATGTCTTCACTTTGATACCAGGCATATCCTCTGGTGTCCCCTTGTTGCTTAAGACACTGGATTTAAAGCTTTGGTTTTCATTTGCCCCACCTAATTAGTCTTTCTTAGCCACCAACACAATCAAAGGAGATGGACTGGCACCACTGTCCTCCTGGCAGTAAGCGATTTCTACAGATGTTCCTGAGGGACCACACATGACTTGTAATGGAGCTGGACAAGCTCACCACAGTCATGGGGGATTCTGATTGCTGGCACAGTCAGAAGGCAGCTTACCATGCAGGAGTCCACGGTGCCAGCCTCATAGCCAGCACATATCATCCGATTGGTGATGGTCTTCATGTCAAAATAGGACTGGCACCGCTCCAGAGGGATAATGCGGACCTCTCCCTCCTGCAGCTTAAAGGGCACTGCATTCGAAAAGAAACAAAAGATGCACAGGGGCATAGAAGTGACTCGAAGGTAAGGTCAGCACAAAGGAATATTTTCGTATACCTAGAGAATGCTTTCTTGCCCTTTAACATTCTCCCAAAACTTTCTGGGTGGTGGTAGTACACAACTTTAATCCCAGCACTTGGGCAGAGGCAGGCAGATCTCTGTGAGCTTGGAACCAGCCTCAGCCTACAGAATGAGATCCAGTACAGCCGGGGCTACACAGAGAAACCTTGTCTTGGGAAAAAAAAATCATCTCAAGATGAAGACTTGTTTGCAACCCAAATTTTTTATTCAGAACTTTCAATGCTGGTGAAAGTCCTTATTTTTCCAGCGTGGCAGAAGGGTTGAAGTGATTGTGTTTCCCCCTTGCCATCTGCTCTGGAGAAAGATCAGCTTTTACAATGAAGAGGGGAAACAAGGCAGAGTCTTCAGCTCAGCACATCTGCCATGCTCTCTAGGTGCAGAGAAAATCTGCCGACCCTCACAGGGAAGGGCCCTCCGCACATGTGCTCCTGCTGCCATTGTTCTGATGTCGACCCTTTAATCCTAGAGGCTGCGGCAGAAAGATTTGAAAAGGATGATATCATTTCTTGCTTACATTCGACAGAATATATGATTTCTGTCTTGCTTAAAAAAACTTCAAGAATAACAGTTGCAGTCTTCCAGCAAAACCTCATAAATCCTATTTGGACATCCTAAAAATCATACAGATTGTTCCTTGAGGAAGTGATGGGCAGGCAGTGTTAGCAATCCTAATCATTTGAGGAAAAATCAGTGTGATGTAGGACAAGTTTAACAAGTCATCAGGATGGCAATGGTAATGAGAAGCAGCAACACGTACTGCACACTAGGGTCGCTGAGGCTCATACCGTCAGCAGCTT